ATCTAGCCTTTAGGAAACTGAGAAAGTTGCCTCTTCCAGCATTATTTTAAAGTGTCAGTGCTTTAGGGTGCCTGGGTGACAGTCAGTTGAGGGTATGACTCTTGGTTTCAGCTCAAATCATGATCTCAGAGTGGTGGGATCGAGCCCCTGGTCAGGTTCTACACTCAGCAGGGAATCTGCTTGAGGATTTCTCTCTCTCCCTCTCTCCTTCTCCCCTGCCCTTCCCCTTTCTTATGTGCACGTGCTCTCTTGTTCTTTCTCACTCTCTCAAATAATAAATGATAAAATAAATAAATAAAGTGTTAATGCTTTACTCTTTCATTCTGTGGTGTGAATGGTGCTCTTAAGTCTTATCTGTGGCCCTGGCTTATTATTTTCCTCTCGGGTTGCCTGGCCTCATCACTTAAAGAGAACTCCATCTTTGCTACACACATCATGTAGCCTGGGGTTGAAACGTGAAACCGGCCAGCTTGTTGCAAATAAATGGATATCCCCCAATATATGTAATGATTTTTGTTTGTTATCAGTAAATACATAGGTTTCAATAAAGAGCAGGTTCTCAGGCAAGCAGAGCACAATTTGGGAGGGGAGGGGACTGTAGGAAAAGCATCCTTATGTCTGAGTAACTGAGGAACTAAAACACCCAAGACAAGAACCTTGAAACTTAGTCCAAGGCTATTACTTCACCTTACAGGGAGGAAGAAAAGTGAGAAAAACAAGCAATTTGTATGGTTCCCACAGCTCTATCCATCCATACACAATGAGGTACCATTTAGAGCAGCAGTAAAAGGCTCCCTGTCCCTGACAAGCTCCTTCCTCACTGTGCCACAATGCCACCAGAATTGCTTTACAGTCCTGGTGAGCTCTTTAAAAGATTGTTTTGCTAGGGGCGCCTGAGTGGCTCAGCGGTTGAGCGTCGGCTTTTGGCTCAGGTCCTGATCCTGGGGTCCAGGGATCAAGTCCCACATCGGGGTCCTCACAGTGAGCCTGCTTCTTTCTCTGCCTATGTCTCTCGTCTCTCTCTCTCTCTCTGTGTGTGGTGTGTGTCTCTCATGAATAAATAACATTTTTAAAGAAAATTTAAAAATAAAAAGTCCTTTTGCTAAGAGGAAAAATCTCAGCAGGAGAATGTCTCCTATTAGCTCCCAGAAAAACTAGCAAATAGCAAGGTCCGGAGAGAATGAGCCCTAGAAGACAAAACAGAACCTTTCTGATGTTGATGGAGAAAGATTTGAGCTGAGAAGGATTCAGAACAACTCAGAGCAGGGCTAATTGTTTTTGTGCGGCCACTTCTCTGCCCTGAACTCCTGCAGACAACACTATCCTCTGGCACCTCTCGATTCTTACCTGTCCAAGCTCACACAGGGCCTCAGCATCCTTCTTAATTCAGCACTCCACACATACACACTACCAAGGTCTAGAGCTGGTCTGCAAGGTGAAAAAGATTGTCCAACTCTGGTGAAGAGATGAAATATTGTCTTTTCCCCTTGAATGCATAAATATATAGGGTTCCGAAAATACTGTCAGAGCTCTGTGGGCCCAGAAGACTGGTCTTGGCAACCAAGTCAATGGTGAACCTGGTACTACTGGAAATAGTTGAAGGAAGGGTCAGGGCTAGCAGAGTGGAAATGAGCCTGGGGACACAGCAATAAACAGCCAGTCTGCCTCCTGTGCGCCTTGGGTCAGTCCTGCATACAAAGGAAAGGACTCCATCCCTACTCTCAGGGCAAAACAAAAATTATAACCTACAACCAGACCCCACCTCGGCTATTTACAGCATGAACTCAGAGTTCGAAAGTGCCAGGTGAGGTGTTTATGACACTTCTCCAGAGGCATAAATGGAAATTACTAAAATTATAGGTGACTTGGCTATTTAGGGGCAGTTACACGCATTTCTAAATCTGAATGATGCTTGGGGAGGTGGAAACCTTTGACATTCCAGCAGCCCTTCCTTAAAGCCACAAACTAGTCAAGATACCTTGGGCCTGAATATATAAAGCCGCATCCCGTGTTGATATTTGTAAGCCTGTGATTCTCACACAGGGTCACACTTGGTGATTCTTCGCTCTTCATGCATTTCAGCGTTAGACTATTTACCTTCGTGAAGTGGCCACAATATTTAAGATCAGCAACCGAATGTTTATTTGTGGAACACAGGCTTGCCCACAGTTTACTGAAATAACAAGAGAACTGGCCTTTTTCTGCGTCTGAACTACGTTTTCTTCCCATCACATTCTTGTAATGCTGGCAACGTATGTTTAAGGGGGGGAAAGAAAACAATTCCACAAGCATATATTTCTTTTAAAAAAAGGTAGCAGGTCATGGAAAAAGTCACCAAGATTTTCCCTGAAACATATAACAAGTTTGAGAAATGGGGAATTTGTTTATTCTTACTGTCGTCTAAAAGCGATGACTATCAACGCTTGATTGCTCTCATTGCCTAAGCGTTTGAGTGGCACTTAGAGGTCTTTGTTTCCATTAGAAGCAAAAGGAGAAGGATTTGATTTCTAAAATGATTTTTAAAAGAATACACGGAGACCACAAAAATACCCCTGGTCCAAGCTTACCATGTTTGTCAACACTACTAGCATTTTGAGATATTTCATGAAATTGACTAACCAAGGTCTGAGATACTTTTGAGAGAGAGAGAGAGAGAGAGATGGATTTGGGGTTGATCAACAGTGGTTAGATAGGAGCAGGGAGGAAAGAGAGATGCTAGCTAGCTCATGGCAGAGAGGAGGTCTACACGTAAGTGACAGGGAGGAGATACAGAGAGAAAGCCTTTCCCTCGGGTAACACCACCTTCCCATCTCAGAGCTTCCGCATCAAAGCATTCAAAGCCAGAATGCTGTTGACATCCTATCAGGTTGAATTCCAGGTGTTTAAATGTAAGTTCAGAAGACACTAGAAGATTGAGAAGAAATTACAAGTCAATAATCTTGAGATGAAGAAGAGCTTTCCCATGTAACTCCAGAGGCAATACTTAAACCATGGAAACACTTGTACACTTCCACCTCTGTACATTAAAAACCATAAACAAAATGTAAAGGCTGGTGCCATATAAAGAATCCACGTTCAGTACCTATGGTGAAAGTGTCATATGATCAATATACAGGGAACTCTCAAAAATAAATGGAAAAAAAAAGATAAATAGGGGAAACAGGCAAATTACAAAAACAAGCAATTAACAGAAAAAATCAAGGGTCCAGGGAACAATGCTCTCCCTACATCACTAGTGTCCAAAGATGTTAAAGCAATTAAGAAGAACATTTTTATGCTACTAAATGGTAAAAAAAAAAAATCACAGTTATCAAAGATGTAGAAGGACAGGCCCTCTCATAGAGTGCTGACTGGAGTGCAGAGTAACACAACTTTCAGGAGGGCAATATGACAACACACCATAAAAAAGTCTTTTTTTTTAATGTGCATAACTTCTGATCTAGCGATTCCATATCCTTAGGAAAATATTAAAGATGTTTGCAAACATTTAGCCAACAAGATAAAATCATGTCTATGTTTTTATGATAAGAGTGAGGCATGGTATAAGTAGCCAGTGATAGAAATTGGTTATAGAACATTCTAGAATCTCAATGCAATGGTACATCAATAAGTCATTAAAATGAAGCTGTGAAAAGAATGTTTAATGACATGGAAAATGTGCATATGATTAAGTGGAAAAAGCATAAATGAGCTGAAATGAATGAGGCACAGAGAATGATATCAGACACATAGTAGGTGCCGGCTGCTTTATTTGGAATGATTCCAATTTTGATAGGAACGCCAGTGTATAAATACAGAAATAAAACTCCGTGTATGTCAAAATATCTAGTTAGTTTAGAAATATAGAAGACATTATCTTCTTTTGTTGTCTGTATTTTCTCAAGTTCCCACAGGCAATATGTATTGTTTTTTAGGAAGGTTTTCAAAAGCGATGCTGTGGGTAAACAGCCAAAAACATATTTACATATGTAAATAACCATAAACATTACATATTACCCACATACATAGATAAACATTATATACACATAGAGTCAAAGCCAAAGCACAGAAAATAAAATGTTGACAAACCTCAGTGATCATTTCTGGGTGTTATGATAACGTGTGCATTTTAGGAGTGTGTGTGTGTATGTGTGTGTGTGTGTGTGTGTGTTTCTCCATTTCCAAAATATGTCATGCAAATGTTTTTCATTTATAATAAAGAAAAAGTTATTTTAAACAATAATCCCTGGGATACCACAGGACCTCCTGGAATTTAAGCAATGCTCAATTTTGCAACCCATGGTAGGGACAACGCCTCTATCATCCTGGACCCCTTGTACTCAGTTCCCATGGAGTTACCAAGTCCCGTTGATTGTTTAGAATATGTTTTGCATTTCTCCTTTCTTTGTTTCTACTGCCATCACTCTAACTTCATTGCTCAATCACGATTTCATAAGGCCATTTCCCTGCTCGGAGATGTCCGTCAACTCCCCTCAACTACTTGACCTGGTGATGAAGACCTCCCCATGTTATATACCCTCCATATGAATCACAGTGAAACTGGTCCCCTTACTATTGTTCCAAAAGTACTGCGTTTTGTTCCACCTTTGTGCTCAGATCACCACATACCCAAGAGTTTTTGTCCTTTCCTCTGGGTTTCCTTTGAGACAGAGCTGAAAATCCACCCTATTTGTGATTCCTGCCCCCACCGCAGAGCAATACAGAGGAAATACATTTCTACTTTTCAGCCCATTTGTGTTACTCAGAGGACAAGAATAACACAAATAATCTTTTTTTTAACCTTCTCATTAAATTGATTATATTTCTTTATATCCCTTCCATAGCTCAGAAGCCTAGTAAATATAGAAAATGAAGGTTTGGGCATAAACAAAAGACTTTCCAAGACAGGACACTGGTACAGTTCTAACAACACAATCCTTTATTTAGTGAATATATTAGCACTCAGTTTAAATTGCTGCCACAGGGCTTTGGTTCCACTTTTCCAGTTCCTGGTGGGGTCCCTAACAGAAGCCCACCAGCCGGAGGGTGTTGGGGAAGGTCTTGCGCATGCTCATGCATTTTTCCTGGTCAATGTACAGGGAATTGGCTTTGACAGCCAGGTCATGCTCCAGTGTGGCTTTGGTGTGGACCAGCGACTGCAGGGTGTCCTCCGCTTCCCTCAGGCGCTGCTGCAAGGTCTGGATGGTGTCATCCACCTCATACACTTCATTAACAAGACTGTGTAAGGAAAGAAGCACCCGGTTAGCTTAGCAGAAGTCACATCCCTAAGGTTGGTTATGTGCTGAATTAAGGGCCTGCATGGTTACTGAATTCCTATTAGAAGGTGGCTGCTGGGCTGAGTGCACATGCATCATCCCAAAGTCAGAACAAATGTGCAGAGGAAGCAGTACTTAGGCTTCCTTGTAGGTCTGGTATCAGGCCAGGGCCACATCCCTTAACAATGCCCAGGATCCAAAAGGCAAACTAAGCATATTTTAGGGATACCATCAAATTTTTGTACACAAACACACATATTAAATTATTACATTTTTTAGAAGAGGGAAAACTTATAAACATGTGACACTTTTTTTTAAATTTTTTTTATTTATTTATGATAGTCACACAGAGAGAGAGAGGCAGAGACACAGGCAGAGGGAGAAGCAGGCTCCATGCACTGGGAGCCCGATGTGGGATTCGATCCCGGGTCTCCAGGATCACGCCCTGAGCCAAAGGCAGGCGCTAAACCGCTGCGCCACCCAGGGATCCCTATGTGACACTTTTTTAAATAGTAAAGATGGGAAAAATCAAAACTTAGCTGGACTTTCTTACATTACTATTTTATCATGGCAATTCTTTTCATTGTTAGGAGGAGGGGGGATACCCAACTTTACTCAATGGCTAGAATTCAGCACAATTTGTCAACATATCCTGGTGGTGGCCGTGGTAGAGGTTAGTTAATGAGGCATTCCTGAAATTATAATGCCCGTGCCCCCCAGCAACATCCCAAGGCAATGCCTCAAGTTCCCAGACTAAATATATTTGTAATTGTTGAAAACGTAATAGGACAAGATAATGTTTAAAATCAGCTATATAAGTGGTGAAACAAGTTGTAGCTCTAATTACCTTGTGATGATAAAAAATGACACATTCTTCATTAAGACAAAAAGAAAAAAAATCATTTCATAGAAAAACCTATCACATCTCCTCAAATTATATTAGTCAATACTGTTTTAATATTCATTTCTCTGATTATTAGAGAAACTTCCCTGAGTGTCTACTGGCCTTGTTGCTTGCAGCATTTCTTCTGTGAACTGCTTCTCTCTTTTGCTCCTTTCTACTGAGGTATAACTATTTATCTTACTCATTTGCAAAGAGCTCTTTCCATATTAGGCATATTGATTTTTTTTTGTCTGCTTTGCTTCTGACAAATGTTTTCCCTGATTTCTTTTTTGCCTTTTTAATTTTGGTTATGATGTGTTTTCTATACATAAGATTTCAAATTTTTACAGTAAGTCAAATCTTTTTCTTTATGATTTCTTCCATTGTGTTTATATTTAGAAAGTCTTTCTCTCTCTTTTTGGGGGGCAATTAAACAGAGGCTCCATTACCCACTGATTTGGCCAATTATATTGAAGAGAGATGACTATGTGGCCACTTAAGAGAAAAGATAGGGAACAGTTTATAAAAAGACAATAATAATAATAGTAACACATTTATTAACTACTTTATTATATATATGGTATATAATATATATGTATTATGTATACACACTCTACATGTAGTATTTATATATATAAATATATATGCATTGTATATACTATCCTAAGGACTTTCCACAATCAAAAAATTTATTGTTAATTTCATAACAACACCATGAAGTAGATACTGTGATTATCCCCATTTTACAGATGACAAAACTGAGGTATAAGGAACTTAGGTTACTCTCCTTAGAGTTTTGCATGGAATGACCTATTGGCTGCCTTTAATTACCATGCTGCTCCCTGCCTGATCCCGGTCAGTTGAAAACACAACTCCAAATTTAACAAATTGTAAGTAGTGCTTGAATATTAAAGTTTTCTTTATTTGGGAATTCATTTATCTGCAGACTGGAGGTGCACCAAGTTAATGAAAATATACAGTAATACAGGGGTCCTGCCTGCCTCATTTAGTAAAACATGTGACTCTCAATCTCAGGGTCATGAGTTCAAGCCCCACTTTAGGTGTGGAGCCTCCTTAAAAAAAATAAAAATAGAAAAATAAAAACATCCACTAATGTACAGAGAATGGTGATGATAACCACAGACCACATAAAGATATGTGTGTCCCTAGGGATAGAAAGGAATTTCACCATCATAGAAAAATATCCAGGCCATGTTAAAATCATTATACCAAGGCAACAGTCTAGCTTCACAGAACTCTGCAACTGGAAAATAAATGTGAGAGGTCACCAAGCCCAGCTTCCTTGTTTCACAGACATGGAGACTGAGCCAGGAGACTGATGAACTGCCTTCTCCACAGGCACGCGGCTCACATGTGTTTATAAGCTTCACACAGTTATCCAGGAAACTAAGAAGGAAATAGGGAGTCTCACTGGCCATAATAAGGAACTGGGTCCCATTTCCTGCCCCTACGGTCTCAGCTCCCTGCAAGAGGCAGAAGCAGAGACCAGGGAAGTGGCTTCAGGATCCAGGACCCTTTTGGGCAAGACCATTTCTATTTGTAATCTCCACAGTGTAGGGTTACTGGGTTAACACACAGGATGCCTCAGATAAATCTGAATTTCAAAGAAATGTGCATTTTTTTAGTGTAGGTATTTTTTTAATTGTGACCAAAGACACACAACATAGAATTTACCATCTTAACCACTTTTAGGCGAACAGTTTAGTGGTGTTACCTGCATTCACACTGTTGTGCAACCATGACCACCATCCATTCACAAAACTCTTTATCTTGCAAAACTGAAACTTGGTCCTCATTGAACACTAACTCTCCATCCCCCCTGGGGCCCTGGTAATCACCATTCTACTTTCCGTCTCCCTGAATATTACTGCTCTATGATCCTCATACAGGTGGAATCACGCAGTGCTTGTCCTTGTGTGACTGGCTTATTATTTCACTCAGTGTAATATCCTGAAGGTTCATCCATGTGGTAGCAGGTGTCAGAATTCCCGACCTTTTTAAGACTGAATTATTATTATAATAATATTATATAATAATATAATATTATTTAAAAATATTATTTAAATTATATAAATAATAATTTATAATAATATATAATAATTATATAATAATATATTATAATAATTCAGTCTATGTATTTTCACTTGGCACAAGGCTTTTTTTTAGTAGAAGTATTTTATGCAGTATTTGGGATATATTTATACTAGAAATTATTCATTGTTTACTGAAACTCAAATTTTACTGGCCATCCTGTGTTTTGATTTGCAAAATCGGGCAACACTACCACAAGGGCCAGTGTCATACCAGCACAAAGTAGGCTCTCACAGAATATTAAGATGGCACCAAAGCAATAACTTTTCTACCCAAAACTCTCATGCTCTCTTCTTTGGCACATTTTTAAGGAGAGGCACCAAATCAGAAGCCACTGTGTAGGCTGAATGGCGGGAAGACAAGAAGGCAGGAAGGCGGGGGGGGGGGGTTCTCATTTTGTACCCCATAGAGATCTGTATTCATTGAATTCATTTTAACATCAGAATGCATCTTGATCTTACTTGTGAAATTAAACAAGAAAACTTTCAGAGAAAAATATGGTAAAAAGTTTGACGTAAAAGAATAAAGGAATAATCTCTTTGCAGTATTATCTTATGTTGTGTAGTAGTATGAGGAAACAGCGTTCACACCTAACAATAACCTATATGCTGTAGCCACATGACAGAAGGAATGCAAGCAATACTTTGAGAAAAAAGAATTTGTACTTGTCACGGGGGAAGAAACTCACAATACGATGTTCGTTGAAAAGTCAAGATAGGGGCACCTGGGTGGTTCAGTGAGTTAAGCGTCTGTCTTCAGCTCAGGTCATGATTTCAGGGTCCTGGGATTGAGGCCTGCATCAGACTCCATACTCAGGGGGGAATCTGCTTGTCCCTCTTCCCCTCCCTTCTCCTCCCCTTCTCATGCTCACATGCATGTACTCTCTTTCTCAAATAAATAAATAAATAAATAAATAAATAAATAAATAAAAGAAAGAAAGAAAGAAAGAGAAAGAGGATAGAAAATCCCATAGGCAGCTTGATCACAATTTTGTCAACATACCTGGTAGAAATACAACAAAATGCTAACTCTGGTTTTCCCTCAATGGCAACAAAGAATCAAAGATGGGTTTTATTTTTTACTTCCTTTTTCTGATTTTTCCCCCTTCATGAGCAGATAGATACTACTTTTAAAGCCAGAAGGAACACGGTTAAATATTTTATAAAATGGAAACACAATTTTGAGGGACTTAAACTCTCTTTGGCTTTTAGAGACCAACACAACAGGGCGACGGGGCCAACTTATCTTGCTGGGACAGCACGACAATCAGACTATGATGGTCTAGAAATGCCCAGGAACTGCTGTCCCATGCCCACCTCTAGGCACACCCTCCTTCAAGGATGTGCCAGCTACTGGCTGACCCTGGCTGAGGGAGGGAGTGGAATAGATGTGTCACCAGCACCCCAGGCCATCTGAGGTCCCATCTCAGGCCATGGGGACATGGTCTTTGCAGATGCTAACCAAAGCATCTTGATCACCCACCACACCCACTGTGCCCTTCCTTCTCTGCTCCGCAGGCAAGTCCTTGAATATGCTTGCTCTGTCTCAGACCTCAGCAACTTCACCCTTCCCATCTCCACTGCCCAAAATACCCTTTTTTGTTTTTAAAATTTTTATTTATTTGAGAGAGAGAGAGAGAGTATGAGAGAGAGGAGCAGAGGGAGAAGTAGATCCCCTGCTGAGCTGGGAGCCCAACGCAGGGCTCAAATCCAGGACCCTGAGATCATGACATGAGCCAAAGCATCTGTTTAGCCAACTGAGCCACCAGGCATCTCAGCCCAGAACATTCTTACCCTACCCTACTTTTCATCCCACTAATTAATGCCATCCTCAAAGCCCAAATGTGAAGACACTCTTCAAGAAGTCCCTCCCTCACCTCTAGGACTATTTTGCTACCTAATGGCATGTGTTCCAAGAGCACCAACTCTTCTGCAGCCCTCCTGGCACTTGGCTGGGCCTGTTTGTTACATCTGCCTTGCAGGCCATCAACACAACAAAAGCAACAGCTCCCTGAGCCCACCTTCCTCGTGGGTGCATCTGCAGCCCCTTCTGCAGTCCACAGGCATCCCAAAAATACTTGTGGGATGAAGACCACTTCCATGCCCCAGGTGAGGGAGGCCACAGAAGGAGATAGGGAGCTGCCTGGAAGTCCAAGTTCACAGAGTCTTCGGAGAACAAGAACCAGAGCCCAGGTGACAAAGAGGAAGCACAAGCTGGAGGGGAAGCCTGGAGGAAGCCTGGAGGGGTCCACTTCCAAGACACCTGCAGACAGTCCAGGAGGAAGAAGACACCACAAAGGGTCCCCAGAAGGCTCAGAGAAGCAACAACAAGCTGTGAAAACAGATCCACACAGCGCATCTCCCTTCATCTTAGAACCTGCACTGTTTTCTCACTTTTTTTTTTTTAGAAAAGGAATTGAAGATCCACAGAACGCAGGCAGCTGGTGCCTTGCCTTTCACTGCTACGTGAGTACAGCTGGGAGATCCTGCACTTCCCTCCCTTGTGCCCTTAGAAACACATTTTCACCCATGTTTCAAGGCCACATCTCTCCCTCGGCTTCCTTGTTCTTGGCAGATCACAGAGAGCTGTTCTGCTGAAACCACTCATTTTGGGGGGAAATTGCAGAACTGAAAAACATTTTGCATTCAAATACAAATAAAGCTACTGTCATTCTTTTTTTTTTTTTTTTAATGCACCAAGGTTATTGAAGTAAAGCAGAGCCTGGTCTGGCCTGCCACCACCAAAGATGCCAAAAATGTTTAGAATTACTTTTGCAAGAACCCGTTCAGAAAATGTTAAATGAAAATAAAAGTCTCAAAATGAAAACTGCAATTTTTCTCCATCCTTGCTTCCCTGAGTCCGTGGTCCTTTGGATCACCATGCTTTAAAAACAAATATTTACAGAAACAAAAGTGGGTTTTGTCCTAAAGTCTATAAAGGAGAAATGGACATGGTATGGATTCTACAGGAAGCAAAGGGAAAGTGAATTCCATGTAGCTGTGAAGTGGAGGAAAAAAGGAAAAGTCATTCAGCTTCTGTGGAGCAACCTCCCATGCCTCATTTGTCTGAAAACTCCAATGTCAAATTAGACCACTACTCAAAATCCTTTTAAAAAGCAGCCTGGGTTTGTCTGGTGCCAGTGTGAACAATTTATGTATCCCTGTCTCTACTCCTGGTGACTCTGCAGAAACTTCCAGAGAAAGAAACTTCACTCAGCTTCCCCTAATAAGATTTGCAGAAAGCCACAATTCGTGATCTAAGCCTAACTGGCCAGATGTCTGAGCTCTCACTACCATGCTCTTCCCCAGAAGCACGGGGACACGGCAGACTGGCCACCCGGGCACCTGCCTGGCCTCCGGAGTGGAGAACAGCTTATCCTAAATCATGAACGGGCTATGTAGGAATAGGGGTTCTCTGGAACCTACTTGGGGAAACGTGTAGCCATCCTGGATGCACACCCATATGGCTATGGCCCAGACAACACCTCCACAAGGAGAAATGCAGCTAATCCATTGGCATATATTCTAGAACATGCTTCTTAGCACCCAACACAGACAACATGCATGCTGTACAATAGGGTGTTTTGCTGTAAGGATCTCCTCTGTGACCCTCAGTTTCATCCTCTGTGAGAGAGAGAGAGATAGGGATACAGTACCTGCCTTGCCAGCTCACTCCATGTGGGCATTGAGGGAGTTGGATGGGATCGGGCGTGCAATAGGGGGATGGATGGTAAAAGCACCATACATGTGAAAGATGGGGGAAGCAAAAGCAAATGGTTGGTTTGGCTGAAAAGAGCTCCGCAGTGAGGCAGGCAAGGGCTTAAACTGTGACTCTACTTACCACATCACACAACCTGCTTCTGCCTCATTTTCTTTATTTGTGAAATGCAGATCATGAATGAGGGCTGAGGATGGGGCTTGCACAGAATGAGATCCATACATGGTGGCAACTACTCTACTCTTGCCATTTCAGCATCTTTCTCCTCTTCATCATTGTTGGCCTCACGACGATCTCCCTGACTTGCTTCCTAGGATCAATCCTTTGTCATGAGAAGGGAATCCCATCATGGAACCAGGTAGGGGACAACACTAGTGGCATCTCCCCACAGCACCAGAAAGGAATTTGGAGTTCAAGAGTGGCCGCTTTGGTTCCTCCAGGTGCTATAAATTTGATTTGCTTCTGTGCAGGGCATTTTGTGACCTGAGAAGAGTGATGAAGAAATCCAGAAAGAAATGGCAAGCCAGCCAGTATTGGGAAGTTGGAAATGAAGCCAGAACGCTGGGGGAGAAAAGCTTTGCCCAATTCCTGACAAGCCCATCCTAAAAGGAATGTTCAAAGTTAAAAATGATCATCATAGGGGATCCCTGGGTGGCTCAGCGGTTTAGCTCCTGCCTTTGGCCCAGGGCGCAATCCTGGAGTCCCAGGATCGAGTCCCAGGTCGGGCTCCCGGCATGGAGCCTGCTTCTCTCTCCTCCTCTCTCTCTCTCTCTCTCTCTCTCTCTCTCTATCATAAATAAATAAATTTTTAAAAAATGATCGTCATAATAAAAAGGCATCTAGTGTTTGGGAGATAAATGGCGGCACCACAGTCATGTTGCCATGTATATGGGGGAGAGGACTGTGCTTGATGAAGACAGCTGGTTTCAATTTCTACTGAGATCAGAACAAACTGAAATGAATCTGAGGTAGTCCTAGGGGACCATGAGGATGGTCTTAATGAGGAGAGAAGATATCAAATGCCAAGAGAGGCCAATGAGAACAAATGGGTGAGAAAAAATAGAAAGGGGTCAGTGGAACTGGTACCACAAGTCCCTTTCTAATGAGTCCCAGGCACTGAAAACCACACAGCAAGCAACATACTCTGCTGCTTATAAGAGAGGTGTTCTGGAAACTCCAGACCCCTGGGAAGCACAGAGGAACCCAGAGGACCCATCGGCCCCACTCAATGAGGCTTAACATTTATCACTTGTTTTTTTTTTTTTTTTTTGCATACAGTGTTGATTTTATGTCCTTTTTTTTTAAATTGTGGTAAAATGTACATAGCACAAAAAATTTTACCATCTCAACTATTTTTAAGTGTACGGTGCAGTGGTGTTAAGTACTTTAAAACTGGGACACCTTGGTGGCTCAGTGGTTGAGTGTCTGCCTTCGGCTCAGGGTGTGATCCCAGGGTCCTGGGATCGAGTCCCACATCAGGTTCCCCGCAGGAAGCCTGCTTCTCCCTCTGCCTGTGTCTCTGCCTCTGTGTGTGTGTCTCTCATGAATAAATAAATAAAATCTTTAAAAGAAAAAGTACTTTCAAACTGTTGTGTATCCATCACCACCATCCATCTCTAGAACTTAACCATCATCCCCGACTGAAACTACATGCCCATTATTAATAGTTATTAACACTTTCAAAGAAGGCTCTTAGACAATGACTGTTAGTGTGCTCTTCCATGTGACAGCAGAAAGCGACTTTATAAAGAGCATGGAGCCGCCACCATGGGGCAAGTGGGTTGCCCGGTGGGCTGCTCCAAGGTGCACCCTGACCTTGCCCCTCCTGCCAAGGGCACATTCCTGCCTCACCGTAGCTGAGCCATGTCCCGGCAGAGTTCTATGTTGGGTCTCCTCGTACGCTCGTCCAGTCTGGTCTGAGCCACCTTCAGGAAGGCAGACTTATCTTTGATGGCCTTCTTGATGGATTCTATGGTCATTTCAGTCTGGAAAATCTCCTGCAGGGTCTGTATGAAAAGAAGCAAATACTTGAGGCCTCTTGCATTTAAGGCTTGAGGCCTGCCTTGCCCTCTCCACTGGACAGGTGGATTCTCTCAAGGCCTTTTTCCCTCCCTGTCCTCCAGACTCTCTGGAGAGCTGACTGTGTGTGTCTCTTCCCTCTCCAGGGGAAATCTGCCAGGCGGGGGACATTTATACCACAGAAATGAGCAAATATGACAAAATGGCGCCCCCTCCCACCCACAGCCCTCAGATCACCCGTCGTTAAAAATTCACATGTGTGCATAACTCTGAAAAAAAGTGAGGCTGTGAGGTTTGAGGGGCCCTTAGGTCATCCTCACATAACATGTTCTGCCTCTTTTTCTTCTTACCAGTGTCACGGAGATGTTTTCCTGCTGGTGGAGGATTTGCCTTGAAGTAAATCAAGTTTAACCTGGGTGTCTTATAAGGAAGGAGTACTCCTGATTTTATATTATTTTTTCTTAAAGAATGTCCCCCCAAACTGTATAAACCTGAGTCCTTCCTTGGTCTTCTCTCTCACCTATGCTCTGACAACTCTTCTTTCTTCTACAGCTTTGACCTCTGCACTCCCAGTTCTCCAAGTCCACCTAGCACTGCCCCCTTCCTCAGCCACCTTCCTGTGGCCTGAAGACACACCCCAATGTCCCCCAAATTCTTATAAAACCTCATGTCTTTACCACCACGCTCTCACCCAGTCCCACCTGGGTATTCTCCAGCCGGTACCCTCCCGCCTCCTGCTCCCAGTCCCCATGGCACACATTCCATAACGGTCTTGTTCACTCCCTCTACTGCGATCAACAAATCTCCAGGTGGCCCCTCTACACCTGGACCCAGTGGCCCTCATGAAACTGCACTCTCAGAGTCAATAATTATCCTCCCCGATGTCTCCCTCTCATTGAAACTCTTGCTCTGCTTGTCTTCTCTGGCCAAGCACTGTCCTAACTCCCAGCCTCTCTCTCTAGCTGCTCCTCACCACTTCCAGTGCAAGGCTGCATCTTGAGCCACTTCTCTGCTCTGTCCCTTCTCCCCTCTCATGTAGTGTAACATCAGGGACTCACCACTTGCATAATCAAGGAGCCCTGAAATCCACCACTTCAGCTTTGACCTCCCTCCCAAGCTTTCAACAACCTGTTGAAGATCATTGCACTGTCCCTATCACCAAAGCCACCCTTGGGGGCTCCCTGTCCCCCTGAAGCTATCCCTATCTCTCACCAACAGAAATAACTCTTCCTTCTGCAGCTGTTTCATCTGCAGCTCCAAGTTCTTTTTATACCTTTCTGGTCTTTTCTACTTTCATGTCTCATCTCAATCCAAATACAAGGTGGCAGAGCCAGTGTGTTGTTGATCAGTGTATACCCCCAAAGTCTCCAGCACAGTACTTCAAATGCAGCCATTCTGGCCCAAATACTGTCCTCTTTCCCAGCCCCAGAAAGGCTCTTGTGTTGACATCCTAATCCCCAGTATCTCAGAATGTGATTGTTTTTGGAGATGGAGCCTTTGAAAGAGGTAATTGCGTTAAAATGAGGTCATTATGGTAGGCCCTGGTGCAAAATGACTGGTGTCCTTAAAAGAAGGGGAGATTAGGACACAGGCACACATAGAGGGAAGAGCACGTGAAGACCTAGTGGGGGTTGGCCATCTGCAAACCAAAGAGAGAGACCTCAGAAGAGATCAACTCTGCTGACACATGGATCTTGTACATATAGCTTCCAGAATTGTGGGGGGGAGGGGGGAGTGACTTCTGTTGTTTAAGTCATCCAGTCTGTAGTGCTTTGTTGTGACAACCCCAGAGAACTAAAGCAGAAGTAAATAAAAATTTGTTGAATAAAGGGACTCCATCAGGTGAGCCTTCCAGAGGCCTTCAGAATAGCTTCATACTGCCAGTGAACACCTTCCCATGGATGTCTTCTACAGTGTGGCTCCAGGCTGCCTTTTCAGGCTTCTCTCCCAGGACACACACCATCCATTTACTGACCTGAACTCCACTTCTCACTGGCTACCTCCTGAGGCTTCATTCAAGACATCACCCTGTCGGAATGTTCACCTCTTTCTCCAAGCCCCAACAACACTTTCTACATTTGCTGTTTGGCAACTGCAATTTCTAATTTTCTATTGATACTAATTGTTCATGAGCTTTTCATACACGTGCACATCTTGACAAATATAAGTTCCTGGGTGGCACACCGCCTGGCCCAATAAATATCTGTCGCCCAAAGAAAACAACATGAGAAGGGAAATTGCTGTAGTCTAAGAAAACATGGTGCCCTCAGTTGGATAATACCTCCTTCCAGCACACATGGCTGACTGTGTCAGGTTCTTAAAATAAAACATGAAAACCTATAGGCAGCACAATCCACAGAAATAATAAGGGCTCCAAGACTGACGCTAAATAAAGAGCTCTTTGTTTATCTTGAAACATTCAAATTCTGCATAAATCCTTCATTTTATTGTCACTCTAAAATGCTTATGCTTGGAGCACTTTAAAAAGTTCAATATCAGAAACACTCTTGATCCACCTAATAGTTTCCTGTATTTGGTTTTGTATTCCAGAAAAAGGGCCTGAAATAATTTCACAGAAAACATTCCTCCCATATGTTCTAATAATAAATTCACTTCCTAGTTACATACAGTGATTCATTAAACTTTAATCATAATATTTTTGTTTCTATTAAATGCTAGGAACCTTTCAATGCATAGTGCATTCTTTGTATTCCAAAAACCAGGGGATTCCAATTTCATTTTGACACCTGGCTACTTGGCTAAAATAAATGGTGTGCTTTATACTGTTTTTAATTTTTCTTAGTCTGCACGGCCAGGAGGCCATGCATCTTATGGTGTCTCTCCAGGAATGGTGAGAGATCTGTGGTCCCAGAGCCCCCTCCCCTGTTCTATCTATCCAGGTCAGCTAACGGGTACCACTGGTGCTTGATTTACCTTCGCTAAGTGAACCTGAATCTTATTTTTAGCATCTGCAGTCTCAGCTATGCGATTGGTGAAAGATACATTCACTTTGTTGAATTGATTCCACATCTCATTGGCAGTCACAACCAAGAGGTTTTGAATGTCATCTCTTAGCTTGGCAGAGGCTGCGCGTTCACTTTGGGAACGGAGAATATTGTCATCTGTAAATTTGGCCCAGGACTCAGGCACTGAGACTCTGGAAAAAAAAAAAAAAAAAAGGTAGAACCATACAATGGTAACGATGATGAACCAGCCTGAACAGTCTGTAGGCAATCATTCATTTTGTAAAAGGAGAAATTCCCTATCACTGAATCCTGGTTTTACTACATAAAATGTAAACATCAGAGGAAAGCTTATTTAAAATTTTTCTTAATTGTTCCTTATTTTCCTGCTTAGTTTCTATAAATCCAGAGCATACACCAAGTCCTCTGCCACTCGTCGGCCAGGGGGTGGGGAGCAGTGGGGAAGGGATGGATGAAGGATGTGAGTATGTTGGTTCACAAGAAGTGTGTCTCCCCAGTCCAATAAGCAAATGAGAAAATATCCAGTGTCAGGAGTAATCAGAGTACTAAATGAAAGCAGCAACATACTAATAACCCTTTATCAGATTAGCAAAGACTGAAGAGAATGGTAATTTTCTGGTGTGCATGTTTTTAAAAGTTTTTTCTCATATCTTGCAGGCAGGGTTGTTGAATTGGTACAATCATGCCAGAGGACAACATACACCAAGAACCTATCAAATGTAACCGAGAAATTCCATTAACAGAATTTTTTTTACTGTGATATAACTAACATATAACATTGCATTAGTTTCAGGTAGATGTACAGCATAATAATTTGATACATGTCTACATTGCAAAATGATTCTCACAATAAATTTCTTTATCACCTATCGCCATACATGGTTACAATTATTTTTTTCTTTGGATGAAAACTTACATTCTACTCTCTTAATAACTTTCAAATATACAATACAGTATCATTAACTATAGTCATGAATCTCTATTTTACATCTCTAGACTAAAAATAATGTGCTTCGTGAATTTGTGTGACATCTTTGCCCAAGACCCATGTTAATCTTCTTGACATTGTTCCAATGTGAGTATATGTGCTGCTAAAGCAATATAAAAATTTGTCCTAAGGAAACAATGCTCCCAAAAAACTGTATACTTGAGGCCATTAATGTTCAGCAATATTTATGACTATCCTTGAAAACTTTAAAACAGTCTAAGTGTCCAAAAGTAATAGAAAAAGTTGGTAAATTATCATACTTTTAAATGAGTGATCCATATGGCATGCAGACTCATGTTGTAGCATATTTTCACAGTTTTTATAAATCAGGAAATGAAAAGTCAGACAGACTATATAAACAGTATGTGTGTAATGCCATTCTTTAAAAATATAAATCTGTATCTATATGTGTGGAACAATATTGGAAGGACTAAGGCAGCCCAGGTGGCTCAGCGGTTTAGTGCCGCCTTCAGCCCAGGGTATGATCCTGGAGACACGGGCTCGAGTCCCACGTCAGGCTCCCTGCGTGGAGCCTGCTTCTCCCTCTGCCTGTGTCTCTGCCTCTCTCTCTCTCTCTCTCTCTCTCTCTCTCTCCCTCCCTCTGTGTGTGTGTGTGTGTCTCATGAATAAATAAATAAATAAACTCTTTAAAAAATATATTGGAAAGACTAACAGGTCACATCGGGTATGGTGGGCTTATGGGTGGCATTTCTTTGTTGGTCTTATAGGAAATCACGTAAGACTCTAACTGTTGACTAGTTGTTAGCTCAGGCCACAATGACCCAAAATAACACCCTATATGCTCCATATCCTGACATTCCATGATGGATGGCTAAAAACTCATGCTGGAAATAGAGAAGGCCCTTGATGGAGGGCAAGGTGCTCAGAGCATGTGTTTAGATAATGGCACATCCCCTGCCCCAGAAGGAGAAGAGGAAGATGCTTCTTGTTCACTTCAAGCCAAGTAAAAGGCATTTCAAGGGGAACACTTAGGGCATAGGGTTTGAATCTGATTCATACCTGAAGAATCTAAAAATCAAAGTTGGCACATGCTGCTTTGGGGGTGACCAGCCTTACAAAAGAGAATCTATTTGGGGGTCACTTTAAAAGGAAGGGGGCATAAGCATGGGAAGGAAAACAGGGAACTCTTCAAGGTGACAAAAATATTCTTCATCTCAACCATGGTCACGGTTGCATAGGCATAGAAATTTGTCAAAACTCACCAAAATGCATTTTAGTGTAGGTGAATTTCACTTCAATCAAGTCGATCAAGTCGGGTTTTTATTTTTGTTTTGTTTTGTTTTTAAGGAAATGACTAGAGAAAGACCATGAAGCCAAGACTGCATCCAGAGCCCTGGCAAAGTCACCATTGGTGGAGCAAGTTTAACAAGTGGTGGTAATAAAACATGATGCTGTTTTTTAGCTTGTACCCTATGGAATTCAGGGCATCCAATACACTGGCAACAGTTTATTTTCTTTACGCTTATATGTGTTTCCTAGGTTTTTCTGCTTCAAGTAACTGTTATTTTCACAATTAGAAATACAAATAACAAATATCCTCTTTTTTGAGCTTTAGAAAAGATTTATTATTGAAGTACAGTTGACTTACAATGTCCTATTAGTTTGCAGTACAACACAGTGATCCTGCTATTCTATATGTTACTCAGTGCTCACCACAATAAGTGTAAATAACAAATATTCTTTTACAAAACAATATAGGAGGCAAGTATCAAAGCCTGACTGAGGAATACTCCTGGTTATGGAAGACTCATCCAAAGCAGGGTGTGTCTTTTACCTTCCCACATCTTCCCATGTTTTGCACTTTAACCTGTAAGCTGCATCATTTTGAAGGGAGAGAGGATGAATTAAATGACATCGAGATCTCAGAAGTGGCTTGTGCTTGACTTACGTTGCATCAACCCGCTCCACTCCGCGAAAGTAGCTCACACCATCTGACGTGTTTCGCAGATTGTGGCATTTATCGTCGATTCGGTAGGCTGCCTGTTTATCACTCAGGTCCTTCTCCAGCTCATGCTGGGAGGCTCTGTTAGCTCTGTAAGATAGGGGTGGGGAAATGGAGTTTCAGGTTTAGGTAGTCATTTGATATAAGGAAGAGTAATTGCCCTTCTGTGCTGGGACCCACCCACTCATGTAGGTCTCTCCTCTTTCACACCATGTCCAGCTTCCCAATTAAAAGGAGACTTCCCTGGAGATGTCCATACATGTGAGTAATTAGAACCTAGCCCACGCTGCCCCTCCCATGCATGGTGGGCCTTGGGAAAGAAGAGGTGCAGATAAACAGAAGGTGGGTATCTGGAACCCCAGGGCTGGGGTCCGTCTTCCTAACACAAACACTGATCCAGATAGGACATTGGTTTAAATTAGGCCACATCTGTGCCTCTCTTTGCTTCTTCTTTTTCCTCTTCTATATCCTAATTCCTCCATTCTTTAAGGGACAATTCCCCCAAGAAGTTCTGAGACATTTATAAAGGGCCTCTCTCCATCTGTATGTGAACTCCATTTATGGTCACATGAGGCCTAAGAAGTTGGCCAAGTTTGCCAGGAGATAGAAATAAAGCATCAATATTTTGTCCTGGGGCAGGAGACAGAGGGCTTGAAAGGAGATCAGGAATTTGGGGGCCTCCTGGCTCATCTGCTCCAGCAGCCACCACCCTCCGGGAAGGAAGAGGCACTGAGATGCATGGTGTTCCCTGTCCTGCCAAACAGAGAGGAGACCTGACAACTCACTACGAAAGAGACAGGCCCATGGCATGGGCATGGGTGACAGGTGAGCCACATCTTTATTAAGGCAGCAGTTTATTCAACAAATTACTGAGTGTCTACTACCTGTCAGGCACTGTTCTCCAAGCCTGAATGCATCAATGGACAGAGCAAACAGCTCTTCTCCAAAGAAGCTTACACTCTACAAAGAGGAGATAGGCAATATCCCTCATGAATAAGCCAATCGTGCAGCCTGTTAGCTTAACAACGCAGAAAACAAAGCAGAAAAAAAGGAAGCAAGAGTGTGAGTGATTTAAATAAGACGGTCAGGGTAGGACTCCTTAAGGAGGCAATGCTTGAGCAAAGACTTGCAGGGGGAAGAAGCAGATCATGCAGAGCTGTGTTGGAGGACATTGGAAGGAGTCGAGTTTTCCTCCAAGTGAAGTGAGGGACTGCTGATTTACAATTTTAAAGGATTGTTTGGTGCAGGGGGCAGGGAGATCCCTTAGCAGATAGGTACAGTGAGCCAGGTGAGAAATACTAGCAGTTTGGACCAAGGGGTAGCAGTGAAGGAGGTGACAAGTGTTCGGATTCTCAGTATATTTTAAAGAGAAAGCCAAGAGACTCCACTAGGAGATTAAACATCAGTGGAGGGAAAAGAGGTAGAAGCTGAGTAATTGGAATAGCAGAATTTCATCGACAGAGGTGGGAAAGTTTTTTGGGGAGAAGACAAAAGTTCAGCCAATACACTGAGCTTGAGCATCCATTAAATATCCAAGTGTAGTACCAAGGAGGCTGTTGGAATTTGAGAGAGAAGTCTGGGCTGGAAATAAAAATTGGGGAATCATTAGCATATAGATAGTATTTGAAAAGCAGGATGAATGGATGATCTTCATTGTTTTGGTATTCCTGGCCATTCAAAATGCTCCTGGCATACAGAAGCCATGTGGTAAAGCCTACGCTGAATTTGAATAGATTAATTCCAGCTGCAGCTTCCCCATAGCTTAGCCCATACTTTTAGGTAAGTCACTTGATCTATGAGAGTTCATTTGTGTGTGTGTGTGTGTGTGTGTGTGTGTGTGTGTGTGTGTGTGTAAAATGGAAATGAAGGTAGCAACATGCCAGTAGCCCGCATTTTGTGAATCCTAAAACAATTTTGTGGATTCTAAAGCACATACAACAGATAAAGACACCTCCCTTTGCTATTTGTTTGGTCTCCCATCTCAGGTTATTGTGTTCAAACTCTAAGATTAAAGGCCTTTCTCATTTGTGGTTCTGGGACCAAGATGCCCCATAGCCTTCCTCTCTTGAGCTGACATAACCTTGACCTCCTCTGACCTAACATCAGAACCTTCTTAGGAAGGTGCTTTAGGCAGCACCCCATTGTTCTGTCTTATAGCCCAAGATGGGAAAAAATCTTGGCTGCCATGTTGGTGACTAATGACATTCCATTTCCAACTGAGATCCAAACTGAGGCCTTCATTGTGGGTTCCAAAGCAAATAGAGTTGAAAAGCCCTCTTCCTATCACCTTCAATGGACCAAAACCAATGACCACATTAAGGATCTCATAAATTCTGAAGAAACCATCCCAGGAAATGAGGTAGACATTTTATTCATTGTATATTAAGGTTTTTAAAGGATCACAACAAAGGTTCCACACAGTGCATACATGGACACAGAACTTCCTGCAAAGACTTCAAAGGGTCAGGAATGAGGCGATTTGGTAGCAGACACTGATAGGAAGATGTGGATGTTTCACAGTGGAACAATCTGGATGAGAAGGGTGAAGAATGTGGAGGAGGAGCTGAGGATTTTAAGTTATAAAAGAAAATAGGATTGGGACCTGGACCCTCCAAAAAAAAAAAAAACAGAACAGACGCCATTCTGTGAACCATGCTAAACTGTAGTTCTCCAATTTCTAGGCAGCAGAAAGCATAAAGGAGTATCAGATCTGCACTGCCTTGTATTTGAAGCTCTGGTAAACTCTAGAGTTAACCAAACCACGAATAGTCAGTCATCCTTAACTAATCTTCTACCTATCCTCAACATTTCTGGCTAAAGAGCCCTTCTAGTCACAGCAAGAGAGAGATCCCAGACATCTAAACCTCTCTGACTTGCAGAGCTTGGTGGGCAAACAAAACAAGCAATACTGATACCTCTAAAATATGTATTCCTTCTGGGGTATCACAAATTATCCTTGACAATATCTGTATAAACAGAAGCATCCTTTCCTTTGGGTGACATATTTGATGCTGCTTTCCGTGGCCATAACCAGGTGAACATTCATCTTTCTAGTCACATTAGGAAAGAGGCTCAAACAATGTATTTTCTAAGCTGAGAGCTGTTATCATTGCATAAGATCTTCCTTTGATTATTATCCCCCCCCCGCCCCCGCCATCCCAATCCCCACCACAAATATCAAGTACCTACTATCTACTATTGTCAAGGAAAGAGGGCTATGTATCCTGGTAGAGAGTAGGATGGGTGAACGATTACAAAGTTGCAGTGGTGTGACCAGAGCACTAGGGAGCAGGGACCAGGGTAATTAGAGAAGGCTGAGTCTTTAAGGAGTTCTGGAAAGAATCATAAAAGTGAGCCACAGTTCATTACTTTTCCAGCTGTTGGGATGAAAATTCACAAGTTAACCTCTCCTCAAAGAATGAAAGTCTTTTGAGTTCAAAGAAATCTTAGCCATACTCCAAGTTAGGGCTGAAATCCTTTCTATAGCATCTCAAAATTGATTTTCTTTAAGATTTTATTTATTTGAGAAAGAGAGCACATGCAAGAAGGGAGAAGGAGTAGAGGGGGAGGGAGTCTCAAGTAGATCCGTCCTGAGCATGGAGCCTGACTTGGAGCTTGATTTCACAACCCTGACATTATGACCTGAGCTGAAACCAAGAGCCTGACACAACCAACTGAGACACCCAGGCGCCCCTCAAAATTATTTATTTAACTACAAATTTAAAGCAAGCACTCCAAGTACTCATCTTAGCCTCCAAATAAAAATGTATATGTGTGTGAGTATGTATGTGTATCCATATATAAGAAATCCTTACATAAGAAGCTAGGATAAATTTGAATGGGAGGCACAAAAGCACGGTTTCAAGACAGATTTTCAATTGTATATAGAGTTAAAGGTCTTACGCAAGTTGAGCAATGGCCTTATCCAAATGCAGCTTCATCCTTTCTTGACAACACAGAATAATATCAACTTCCTACTTGATTGAAAAAAAAAAACACACACATTAATGTTTTCATCATCAGGTATAACATCCAAAGTCAAAAATGTAACAAAACATTGACAAAGGAAAACTTCATTCCTGGGAAAAAATGTCAAGTTAAACAAGAAAACAGGGGCACTTGAGTGGCACAATCTGTTAAGCACCATGATCTCAGGGCCCTGGGATTTAGCCTCGAGCCTCAAATAGGGCTCCCTGCTCAGCGGGGAGCCTTCTTCTTCCTCTCCCTCTCCCCCTGCTCATGCTCTCTCTCTCTCTCTTTCAAATAAATAAAATCTTTTTAAAATAAAATAAAATAAAACAAGAAGACAATCTTTACATCCACTTATTTATCTCTATGCCCTCATGATACTGCAATCTAAACATCAGACTGAGGTTCACCCCTTTATAGGGCTATAGGAAAATTACTTTATGGAACAATTTGGGACAGGAATAAAAACTGTAGGATTTGCCTTTATTTTTCTCTCTGGCCCTTAAGTAAAACAATAAGTAAATAAATTCTGATGATGTGCAAGGTTGAATTTAATGCATGCTTCTTTTTATAATAATTACTCTTCCATGACAAAGTAAACTGGTGAGCCAAAGGGGCAGCCAAAAAGGGACTTTCTTCTGGCAGTGTATGTAACCTCCGACAGATCCAGCTCTTTGGTCCAAGTGGAAACTTGATTTCCACACTGGGAGGCCCACCCTTCCCACCCATGCCCTGTTACTCAGCCACTACACTCATACAAACACCTTTATACACCACTCTACTTGATCACACACCCAGCATTCTAATGCCGCTAGGAATATAGACACTATTACATAGCATGTGTTGTATCCGAGACGTCTTAAGTAAACATTTTTTGCTTCCTTCTGAAATTCAAATTCACATTAGAAAATCGAGAAACTCCAAATAGTACCAAGAAGACATTTAGATAAGTGCACATGGTCACTGTTACCACTTTTTCAAGCACAGAGTGATCACACCATGTGTATTGTTTTTGCAGCCTGCCTTTTCATTTTATTTATATATTTTAAGATTTTATTTATTTATTGAGACAGAGAGAGTATGAGTGGTGGGGAGAGGCAGAAAGAGAGGGAGAAAGAGAATCTGAAGCAGATTCCCTGCTAAATGCCAGCCTGACACAGGGCTCAATCTCATGACCCTGAGATTATGACCTGAGATGAGATCAGGAGTCAGACGCTTAACTGACTGAGCCGCCCAGGTGGCCCCCACCTTTCCATTTTAAATCTGAACATTTTCCCATGACGTTAAACTATACCATGATGAACGACTTCAGTAAATTGTAAGGGGTATACCTTTTTTTCAAGATTTTGGCAAATACAGCCAATTGCCCTTCAGAGAAGTTGTACCACTCACAATAATAAATGAGAGTACACTTCCTCACTTTACCTATTAAATGGTCACTAACAAATCCTCTTCATTTTTGCTAGGGTGATAGGACCCCTCCCACAAACAACAAACCTCATGAAATTTGCAGGTTAATATTTTAACTATGTATTTGCTCATCATTTAGCTTTCTTCTGTTGTGAACTACAGTTCACTCTGCTTCTCCACTTTTTCTGTTGTTTTTCCTTATTAATTTATAAGGATTCTTATATTTAAAATTCATTCCTTTCCCATCATAGATGTTATAAATATATACGTAAATATATATAATATGAAAATATATCTATATTTTTAACCTGCTTGTCCCTTGCCTTTATATTCTGCATAGTGACTTTGATATGCAGACGTTTGTGATTCCTATGAGGTCAAATGTATTAGATATCCCCTTTTGGTCTCTGTCTTTGTTAATTTGATTATAAAGGGCTTCTCCATTCCAGTACCATTCCAATATCAATTATTACTCAACTATATAGTCTTCTTATTCTCTTATTGCTTCACATAAAAATATGCCTAGAGTTCATTTCACTGATAACCCTACCGACTAATTCTTTGATCTGAATCAGTGGAATAAATGAAAAGCTACATTCCCACCATATGTTGTCATCAAGGCTCGCCATGTTCTTACAAGCAGCAAAGGTTTCTCACACATTCTCACAGTGAGTTGTGCATCAGTCTTTGCTTTTAATGTTGTTCAATCTTCCTTTTTTTTCTATGGTGTGGTGTGTGTGTGTGTGTGTGTGTGTGTGTGTAGTTATTTTACTAAGCTATTTGCCAAAGAATGCATGGGCTATTGCTTAGAAAATACTATTTAACATCCAAAATCCTAGTGAGTTCTTATACTATGTATACACAATGCATATAGTGGGAATTTCTGGGACTTTTAATGGGGGGGGGATGCATTTAATGAAACTCTTGCTATAAAAAATATTCTTCAACAATAATTTCTATATTTGAATTTAAATAATGCCATATAGTGAATGTCAGATGGTTGAGGGCAGATGGGTTCATGGAAATAGGGAATGCCTACAACCAAAGACCTTTGGAACTGTCTCCAGTGTTAATTTATCTATTAATCTGTACTCAAAGGTTCATTTGGCTTTAAAAAGTTCAAGGACTTGGGGTCCTTGGATGGCTCAGTGGTTGAGTGTCTGCCTTTAGCTCAGGTTGTGATCCCAAGGTCCTGGGATCAAGTCCCACAACAGGCTCCCTGCAGGGAGAAGCCCACAGGAAGCCTGCTTCTCCCTCTACCTGTGTCTCTGTTTCCCATGAATAAAAAAAAAGTTCAAGTTGTTAACCTGGTCTGGGAGGACCAAAAAGACGGTACCTTAATCAGTCCCCCAAGAGAAGCCATTCTGTAAGAATTTGGTGAATATCACTGATTGAATGTAAAAGTTGACAGAATTCATGAGAAAATATTTCAATATGGCCACCTTCTTTAAAAGCAGGGCTTTTAAAAAATAAAAAAATAAAAGCAGGGCTTTTAAGGCAACTTCTTTTCTTCTTTCCTTTCTTCCTTTCTTCTTTCTTTCCTTTCTTTCCTTTCTTTCTTTCTTCTTTCTTTCTTTCTTTTAGTTATTCCAAAAAATTAGGCCAGTGTTGGTAAAAAGAAAAGATATGCTAATATCACTACTTTGAGTAAGCAAAGTATACACTCATTACTTGAAATTATTGGCAATGACCAAGGCACCCCTCAATTGACGAACCATTACTTTCATTGCAGATTTAGTTATTTTGAGACAAAGTAACCTCTGCTACTGGTCTAAGAAAATATGAAACCTCTAAAGCAGTAGTGGTTGTTTGAAAAATAGATTTATCAAGATATAATTCATGTACATTAAAAATATTCTATTTGACTGCAATGATTTTTAGTATATTCAGTTATGTAACCATCATAGAACCAATTGTAGAACATTCTCATCACCCTCCAAAGAAAAAACACACTTCTTCACTGTTACCCCAGTTTCTAATCCCCTGAGCCAGTTTCTCCTAGGCTATAATTAATCTATTCTCAGTCTCTGTAGATTTCCCTAATTTGGACATTTCATAGAAACGGAATCCTGCAATATGCGGTCTTTGTGACTGAATTCTTCACTTAGCATAAATTTTCAAGGATCATCCATGTAGCAGAATGTTTCAGCACTTTTAAGGGCTGAATCACGTTCTATTGCATGGCTACACCTCATTTTAGAGACCACTCATCAGCTGACAGACATTTGCGTTGTTTCTAAATGGCTGTTATGAATAAATAATGCTGCTATGAGCATTCATGTACAAGTTCTTGTGTGGGCATGTACTTTTTTTTCCTTTTGGGCAGATACATAGGAGTGGACCTACTGAATCATGTGGCACCTCTGGGTTTAACCATTTTCCAGAGGAGGTGTATCATTTTACAGCCCCATTAGCACATTCTCACCATCACTTGTTACTATCTGTGTTTATGTATAGCCATCCTAAAGGGTGTGAAGTGGAATTTCATTGTTGTTTAATTTGCCTTTCCCTGATGAACTATTGATGACCAATCTTTACTGTCCTTATTGGCCATGTGTATATTCACTTTGGAGAACTCCCTGTTCAGATCCTTTGACTATTTTGAGTTGGGTTATTTGGTGGGGTTTTTTTGTTTTTGTTTTTGGGTTTGTTTGTTTTCTTTTTTAGCTTTAGTTTTAAGAGTTCTTTACATACTATAAATACAAGTCCCTTATCAGATATATGATTTCAGAAGATTTTCTTCCTTTCTATGCATTGTCTTTTCACTTTGTTGATGATGTTCTTTGACGCATCAAAGTTTGTCATTTTAATGATCAATTTCTCTTTTTTCTTACGTTGTGTGTGCTTTGTGCTTTTGGTATCTGTTTTAAGAAATGATTGCCTAGTCCAATGTCACTAATATTTATGCCTATGTTTTCTTCTAAGAGTTTTACAATTAACTCTTACATTTAAGTCTTTGATCCATTTTTATTCATTTTTTTTATATATGGTGTGATGTAGAAGTCCAATGTCAGTCTTTTGGTCATGGACACCCAACTGTCCAATCACCATTTGTTGATAAGAGTATTCCCTTCCCATTGAATCGTCTCGGCACCCTTGTTGAAAGTGAATGGATTGTGAAAGGGAAGGTTTATTTCTGGATTCTCAAATTCTATTCCATAAATCTATATGTCTATCTTTATTGTCTCATGCATTGTAGCTTTGTAGTAATTTTTAAATCAAGAAGTGTGGGTCCTCTGTCTTCTTTTTCAATATTATTTTGGCTGTCCTGAATCCCTTGAATTTACAGTGATTTTCACAGACAGCTTGTCAATTTTTACAAAGAAGTCAGCTGGGGTTTTGATGAAGATTCTGTTGAATCTATGGTCCTTGTGGGGGAGTATTGCCACCTTACCACTATTTAAGTCTTCCAATGCATGCACATGATATGTCTACTTACTCAGATCTTAATGAATTCCTATCAATAATATTTTGTAGTTTTAAAGCAGTGGTTCTGAGTTCTGGCTGTTCATTAAAATTTTCTGGGGAATATTTTTAATACATATGCCTATTCCTCACTCCAGATTTGAATCAGAATCTCTGGGTGTAGGACCCAGTTATTGATGTTGTTAAAACCTTCAGGGGCAATTAGTCTTTAAAGCTAGAATAATACATTAAAAGTGGCAAAGTTAAAAAAAAAAAAACCTCTTGTAAATAACCAACAGATATTCTGATGAAGTTAAAAATTGTTAGAACCACGTATAATTTACTTCACAGAACATCTAGGATCAGTAAGAATAAGAGGCCAAGGGATATTTTCTGGTAAATACTTCCCCCTTTTAATGACAAAGTAGATGACAGATCATTTCAAGATGGGAGATTCATCAGAGGCAGGAAAGGAAGAAACAGCAGAACGTGGACCTATTCCCATAAAGCTACTTGATCCAAGATATCTTACTCTTATTCACTCATGTGCAGCAATAGGCACTGTGGCTTTTACAAAAGAGATTGCATAGCTTTTTTGTAGTGGCCAAAACTTTCCTGAATTTATTGTTTCCACTCATATGTCTTTTGAAGAATCAGGCAGAAGAGGAAAGCAAAGAGCAAAGAAAAAAACTCCTGCTTATCATCCATAATGCAGTAGGTCACTAAAATATAATTTAATGCAATGTTAAAATGGACCCTGGTGACTTGTGAAGGTAATATTACTGATGACCAGATTGCTAGCTCATCATATTTACTTTCAAACCAAGGATTCTTTTTTTTTTTTTTTTTTAACCAAGGACCGACCAATCACAGAAAGGCAAACAGGCAGAACCCAGCAAAGCTGGTTCAGGGATCATGTATTGATTTCTTGCAGCAGAAATTCAGCAAAACGAGTAGGAAACGGGACTGAGAAGGACTGAGAGCCAGACAATGGAAAGCCATAGAAATTAGGGAGTCAAGGAAGAGATTTTAGCGGATGGAACCACTGGTGATCATGGTAGTACAGATTCAAGTGAAGAGAGGATATTTGGGGATTTTGCATTCACCAGCTCTAATGGAGGAAAAGATGGTTTTGAGCAATGGGAGGAGAGAATGGAGTACAAAGGGGAAGAACAATTTAAGGAGCTGGAAACTGATTACAAAGGGTGAAGAGAGTCAGCAAGCCATGCTTCAAGTGACTGGAGAACCTTGGTACCATCAGTAGGAAGGGGAAGGCAGAAGGAATCAGGGTAGAAGAAATGTATACTTGTAGGCTTCATGAGTATTAACCAAAAAAAGGGAGACAGGTAGCAGGGTTACCAACATAAACACATTTGACAGGGACTTAGGGACACAGAACTAATGCATAATAGGGTGTCTGGCCTGAAAAAGACATTAGGAAGAGCCGAGGCTTTTTTCAGTGGCTGAAATCTTAAGGAATGGCATAGATCTCATGGGATTAAGTCTGGGAAGTGAAGGCAAGAGAACTTAGAACTAAATCACATTTAATTGGTGGAGGTGGAAGAGACCCTAGCAGGAGAATCAGCACAGTAGTGCACATATAACTATCTGCTTCTGGATGACAATTTGGCTATATAGGAAAATTTCCCAAATGCATATGCCTTTGGCACATCAATTACATTTCTTGAAATGTATTCTTAGGAAATAATCAGAAATACATAGAGTTATCAATAAGAATATTTTTGGGGGGATCCCTGGGTGGCGCAGCGGTTTGGTGCCTGCCTTTGGCCCAGGGCGCGATCCTGGAGACCCGGGATCGAGTCCCACATCAGGCTCCCGGTGCATGGAGCCTGCTTCTCCCTCTGCCTGTGTCTCTGCCTCTCTCTCTCTCTCTGTGTGTGTGACTATCATAAATAAATTAAAAAAAAGAATATTTTTGTACACAGCTGTGTTATTAAGATAGCAAAAAAACAGAAGGGGGACTGTTATAGGGAAACAAACCTAACTACTCAAAAAAGAGAGGTTTTTTTTTGTTTTGTTTTGTCTGTTTGTTTTTTTAATGATAGCACCTTCACATTGTGGAACACAGTGTAACCATTAAAATCATGCATATCATACATATGCATATGAAAGTATATCTAATGCTATAGGAAAATTACCCCAATGCAATTCTTAAATGAATAAAGCACTTTTAGAGGGAAAGGATGAATAGGTTAAGCACAAAAGATTGTTAAGGAAGTGAAAATTCTCTGTACACTACAATGATGAGTATGTCATTATATCTTTATCCAAACCCATAGAATCTGTATCAAGAGTGAATGCTAGGGGTATACCAGACTTTGGATGACAATGATATACTAATGTAGATTCATCAATGGTCACAAATGTACCACTCTGGTCAGGGATGTTGGTAATGGGGGATACTGTGCCTACGTGGGTGCAGAGGTTATATGGGAAATGTCTATGCCTTTCCCTCAATTTTGCGGTGTCCTTAAAACTGCTCTAGAAAAATTACATCTTTAGAAAGAATGGTACAATCGCCAAACTGTGGAAGGAGCCATGATGTCCTTCGACAGATGAGTAGAGAAGATGTGGTCTATACATACAATGGAATATTCCTCAGCCATTAGAAAGGACAAATACCCACCATTTGCTTCAATAATGGATGGAACTGGAGAGTATTATGCTGAGTGAAGTTAGGTCAATCAGAGAAAGACAATCATCATATGGTTTCACTCATATAGGGAAGAAAAGAAATAGAGAAAGGGATTATAGGGGAAAGGAGGGGAACTTAATGGGAAAAATTAGAGAGAGACACAAACCATGAAAGCTCCTAATTCTGGGAAACAGACAAAAGGTTGTGGAAGGGGAGATGGGCGGGGGGTTGGGGTAACTGCGTGATGGGCACTGAGGAGGGCATTTGATGGGATGAGCACTGGGTGTCATACTATATGTTGGCAAATCGAACTTCAGTAAAAACAAATGAAAAAAAAGAAATGAATAAATGGAAAAAAAAGATTGGCGTTGCCTTCCCTACAACATTTAAGAATAAACATCATTAAGCATTCACCTAGCCAAAAAAAAAAAAAAAAAAACACTAGTCAAATTATATATACAGTGTAATTCTAATCTTGAAGACATGTTTGTGTGTTTTTAAGTTGCATGGTGTCTAAGTATGGCTAATAAAAAAATTTCCTGAAGTTCTCTGAATAAACTGAAATTCTCCTAAATTAACCGTGATTTCTGTCCAACTGAGCTTCAGGCAATTTTTATCTTTCTTTGTCCTATTCTGTATCTTTTGAATTCTCTCAATAAACATCCATTACTTTTATAACCCTCCCCCCAAAAAATCTTTTCCAAATGATATAAATATTTGACACTATAACTTCTTACTTATAAATGGCTTCATATAACATAATTTTTGTTTGTTTGTATACATTAAGCCGGTGTTCGCAATGACATTTTTTGTTATTGACCATACTAACCGTCAGCAGTTCAGCTTCCACTTCATCGTGAACTAGATCGATCCCCATTCTCTTCTCTCGATGAAATAGACATTCTCGGGCTACCTACAGATACACAAAAAATGGAAAGCACTAATAGAAAGTAACCAAAATCAGTGATCAGGAAGCAGCTCTTAGGACCTGTTTCTAAAACAAGTCAATAGATATTCCCAATACCAACTTTTCAAGCCATTTTGTTGGAAATTTAGCAGAAGACCCACCATGACAACTAAGTAAATCCCTATTGCTAGTTAAAAGGACAGAGTTCACTCTTCAAAGTAGTTTGGAAAAAGAATTCTAATTTGGAAAGGTGACAAAATCAAGCATATGGCATCTACTTCATTCTTACACATCAGCATCTGACAAAATTCCTTAAACATTAATTCCTTCTATAGAAATAATAATCTGAAACATAGTTTTCAAGATATTACTTCCAAATGTTTTCTACTGAAGAGTGAGAAAGAAACAAATTATTATCTTTAAAGATACCAAAATATTTGTGTAGCCAAAAATCCAAGTGATTATTTTTGAAGTCCCATTTATTGTTTTCCAAATAATGTGTCTTATCCATTAAGGAAAAAAAATATAGAAAAGTAGAAAATGATTTAACCATATTCCTATCACTGTTTTTTTGTTGTTGTTGTTAATAACAAAACAGATTATAATGTCCTTAGAATTTTATATTATGCTTTTTAGGATTGACATTAAATAGTAGGCCCTGGTCATAAAATATTCTTTGAAACAAAGTATGCTAATGACTCTAGTGGAAAACAGCTTGGATTGCTAATAATAAATTATTGAAAGAACATTACATAAATGTTAAAATACTTTTTCAAAGACTATTTTGTGACCTGTAATAACTGCATAATGTTAACCTTTTCAGCACAAAATATAGTAGTATGTACAACTGTAATCTGACATCAAAATGTTGAACACAATCTTTGAGTGGATACATATTGTTTTAAAAGTAAAATTCACATTTACTAGAAGATGAATTAATGGGTTGAGGGGAACACTGTTTCCATGTATATTACTAAACTGCTTTTTTTAAGTTTCTACTAACCCACCTTCTAGTAGGATTCTACTAATCTTACCAGCAACATAGAAAAGTATCCACCTGCTGCACTTCAGCCAACTCCAGAAGTCATCAGTTTCCACTGTTGCAAATATGATAGGCCAAAGATGGATACTTCATTGATTTAATTTTCATTTTTATTAGGGAATTTTAACTCTTTTGTCTTATATTAGTCGATCATCTGGATTTTCCCCTTAAGATGTATCTGTTTATGTGACTAATTCTAATTTTAATCAGAACCTTCTAGCACTGTGCTGATAGTAAATGTTTGAACACATAGGAACATTTGGACAAGAATTGTAGGAAAAAATACAAATTAGAACCATCTCACTGAAAGGAGTATTAAAAGGAAGAAATTAGATGTCCTCTGGAAATTCAGGTAAGTGGCTATCATTTTAAGGATACTCTAAAGTGGGGTGGGTAAGGTGGGGTGCAGAATAGACCAGGAATCCTCAATATGAGCCAAAGCATGAAGAAGTTATGGAAAGGCTTCCAATCCTCAAAAGTATTTCTTGACGTTAGTGTAAAAAGGTCTCATTTATGTACTAGCACCCTTGCTCAGGATTTCTGGTGATTGTGCTTATTTCTGTATGCTTGTGTCTGTTGGGGGGGACAAGGTGGGGGTGCACAATAAGAAGTAACAATGTACAGGGGTCTCCAACAAACTTTTCAACCCACTAGACCTCTAACTCCTTAGTTCTCTAAATTTTTCTGTCATTGAAGTCATAATAAAGACATACTGCAAATGCTTATCATATGGGAAGTCGTATAAACGTGAAGAAAACTGCTGTTTGCTTCAATTTTATACAGCTTCTGAAATAATTTCTGTAACTTGCGTGTCTTCAAATATAGAATGTCTTCTTTCAATGGTGGTGGGTAGAATGGGGTTGGAGACCCCCTCCTCCATCACACCCTCGAACGGTGAGGGGTAGCCAGAGGCTAGCAACAAACTAAAATGCTGCCTCCATGACCACTACAAATGGCTTAACCTCAGGCTCATTTCTCTATTACCAAATTCACTCCATCTCCTAAGATGGTCTCACTGATAATTTCACTATGCCCCAAAAAGGAATTGTAACACATTAACAGGAGGCATTTCATGACACCGATTAAAATAATAGTACTTTTTTCTCTCAAATATTATATATGATATCCAGGGAAAGCAATGACCAGGAAGCCTATTTAGTAGATGGGAAGATGGCATTCTCACCATAAACACTGTGGGTCCTAAGGGTGTCTCTCTAATTAACCTCCTTTGCTTTGCATTCAGAATTCTTTCTACTTAAAGAGTTGTTCTGCAGGATGTGCAAAACTGGTCATGGTTTTTGAAAGTAGTTAACAGATGTATTGATAGGAGGTTGGCTTCTACAGGTAAAGCAAAATATATTTCAACAGATAATAACCACAGTAATTTGACCAGTAGATTATAATCATACAAATATGTAGTGTCTTTTATCAAAGTTCTTATATTTACCTGAAGAGGGGCTTCTGTTTCCATCAAAGCCCTCTCCAATTTTTTCTTAACATCAGTGAGTTCATTCGTTTCTCCAATCATCGCATCCAACTCATGATTGATTTCAGATTTCCAAAATCCTATGTCATTGACTCGTTCTCCCAAATTTTGGGTGGAGTCTGCCTGGGTTTTTCTTGTTTGCTGATATTTGTCTTGAATCAGGCGAGATGTATCTACCCTTAGTCTCTCTGAATTATGTCGGGAAGTGTTGGATTCGTGATAGTTGGTTAAATTGGACCTGTACCAATCATCAGGAGTATACCTTGTGAAGAGAGTGGTTCTATTAGAAACAAAGGGAAGCATGGTGCTCTCGCACACCTTCTGAGATCTGGTGCAGTATGGGCCCAAGGTTGGTAAGTTGGATGCTACTTTGTAGTATGTGCTTGGTCTCCAAGGAAGGCTCAAGGTATGGGTTAAATTGTAGTGGGGGAAGCGGTCCCTGTAGCTTGATGCCACAGTACTGATGGCTGGTAGGAAGTTGGTTGGTGTTGGTCTAGGGTGGGCATAAGTTGCCGTTAACGTAGAACCTAAAGGCTCCATGATGCTCAAACACTATTGTAAATCTCTCCTGTTTAAAAGGAGGGGAGGGGATGTAAAAACAGACAGTCACATAAATTAATCTTAGGTGAAAATTTACAAATAAACACCACATTTGACTTATTTTTAGTAGCAGCATTCCCTAACATGTTAAATATTTGTCTTAATTTGATATCCACTTTTACCAGTGCTAATATATTCCAAAAAAATTTTTTTTCTATCTTTGTTTCTAGAATATACTAAAAATTACATTCTTTAGGTTGGCCATTTGAATTTCTGAAATTTTTTAAATTTAAGTTATTATTATCCTGTAGCAAATCTAAATTAAGAGACTAAAGTATGCATTTTAACAGGGACTCAAATCTGCTATTTACTAGCTGTGAGGCATTGACCAATTATTTAAACTATCTGTTCCTCAGTTTACCATCTCTAAATTAAGAATAATACTACTACTTACTTCTCTGGATTCTTATGAGAGGTATTAACAGCAAAGTGTTACTTGGCAGCATTTCCTCTACCAAGTCATCCTAAATGAGCACAAAACCTGGATAATAACAATAGTGTGCTTGGTATGCAAACATAGCTCCAGGCAAATACCTGGCTCCCTTTTCTTGGCAACTTGTCACCTCTAGGCACCTTCAATATAGACATTCTAGGGCAGTTGTTAGGGCTAAGTAAGACAATGCTAAGTATTTGGAATGCTTATCATCATTCTGGGCTTAAAACAAATGTCCATTAAAAGTGAGCTTTTTAAACTACTAATCCAAAAGAGTATATAAAATAAAAGATAAATATCCATCCCTCCCCCAAAGTGATCTCCAGTGAATAATTGATTCTAGTTGTTTCTTTCTAGATTTTTTCCAATTCATATACCAACATATGTATTGTTTTTAAAACTATCTTAAAAATGCACCTACTTATATACCATTTATACATATGAAGACCTTTTTAAATATAAATACTGAATTATCTTAATGATTATATGTATCATTTAGAATACATATATTTTAAAATATATATTTCTGACCTCTTCCCCTGTTAGAACATATAGATCCACTTTATTATTTTGAATAATAATAATAATAATATTCTTTTCTTTGGTTGAAAAATATTCTATTGTCTGGAACTTTTGGTCATTATTAGCTAGGAAAGTCAAGATGCCACAGTCTATGGTATACTTTTCAGTATCTAAATATCATTCTGTTTGGGGGTTAGTGCTTATGGACCCATTTACTGAAAAGGAAAAATAAATCAGATATAAACATATCAGAAAAAAATCATTCAATGATTATTCAAATAGCTATGTCTTGAGGCCTTTGGTCCCCAAACCACAAAATAATCTATTTGTAGAATTGTGGTCAAATTGAAACACACTCATTCCACATGTGGTGAAACAACTGCCCACTGCCATGGTGGTGGCCCACACAGTCCTAACTCCCCGACCTTCTCCTAATTCTTCCTTCCCTCAGTCCCCAAATACTTGTACTGGCCAAGCCTAGGAGTATGATGGTCAAAAGGAAACCTTAATAACCCCTTGCAGTTCTTCACTTCAGTTTGAAAATTAAACACTGTTTTTCAAAAAAAGCAAATTCAAAGCAACTTGAGACCTTAGGGTCTTCATGGCTACTTTCAGTTCTAACCTTTTCTCCAGTCAAATCTAGACATAATCTTGTCACTTTTCTTTCATAAAGAAGTTTCATGTGGGTATTGAATGACTCTTAGTTGGATTTTCTTAATTCTTGACAATAATAGCTAGCAACACACTTACTTGGTCCTTCAACCAAGGAATTCCAAGTGTAGAATTACCACATATGTTTACCCAAAACCTATTATGTTGAAGTCTTGAGGCATCTAAACCCATGTTTGTTAAGCCATGAGTCATATACTATGAGTGGTGATTTGTGAAATGCAGAGGTTCAGAAGCCAGAGGAGACATACGGATTGACTAATTCAATATAGTTTCCAGTGATATATTTTTTAATTCAACAAAAGTTTCTAGTGATATATTTTTTAATTAGGGATGCGATATAATTTTAAATCTGGAATCTGAAGCATAAATCTCCATTGTTTAAAGTACACAGATGTAGAGATCCTTGTGTGTGGCAGTAAGTTTCACATGGAGACAATATTTTACGCAAGACACATGTTCTCACACAGTTACACAATGGCAGTTCCAGCTCCAGTTAGCCATCTTGCAAGTCATTCAAGAAGACTGATTAAAAGACAATGGTGTGCAACATCTTATATTTCGGTCATTATTGGTCAAGGAAACTGAGAATGTCATGTCCTAAGAAAGACCTAAAATTTCAAAATAGACTTCTGACTCCAATCATGATAGAGTAATAAAAACTAGACTTAGCCTCTTACATCTAAAAAACTAGACAAAATATATGATATACCTGTTTTGAACAATGGACAGCACAAGACTCTGATCCCTGAGAAAAGAGAAACAAATAAGGCAAGCCTTCTGATTGTCCTGGCATTCTTCCTGGAGGCAATTTCCAGATTACAGGAAAACCAGATGAAAAGTGAGCAGATCCTGGCAACTTTGTGAGTTGAAGAGATCAGAATTTCGGGAAGCTGAGACAGCTGGAAATTGTGAAGCAGGATTCCAGAATAAAGCAAGCTATGTAGAAAAAGAGCTTCCTATATAAGGGGCCCATTTGTGTCTTTGCTGAGCAATAGGTTGCACATACATGAAGGAACGCTGTATGAACTTTGGCAAAGAATGATGGCTGGGTTGTCAGCTGAACAATTTCTAGAGCTCACAGAAGGTGGAGAGATATTTTGAACTCAGGCCAGTCAGAGTGGAGGTGATCACTTGGAGCATTCCATGGAGACCTCAAAGGAGTCACACACTAGAGACAAGGCTGATCTATCTCTGGAGTAAAAATACTAAAAATTCATTCCAGCAAAGCTTTAAAAATAGGTCTCAGAGAGATCAAATTAATCCACAACTAATTTAATTGCCTGACAACATCAAGACATTCAAATATATATCACAATGTCCAGCATTCAATTAAAATTATCAAACATGCCAAGCAGCAGAAAAAAATGTGACACATAATTAGGGAAAAAATCAGGCAACAGGAAAGATTTGATAGAACAAACAAACAATGTACAAGTATTTAAAGGAAAACAAGAGTAAAATGAACATAAAACAAGAACATAATTTTTAAAAAAGAACCACGCATAACTTTAGGAATAAAACATACAATATATACTCATACAGTTTATACTTGAACAATTTCAATGTATGAGATTAACAGCAGAGTAGACACTGGAGAAATACAGATTAGTGAGTTCAAATCTAACCAAACCAAAGCACAGACTTTCTTTAAATGAAAAAAAAAAAAAAAAGAGAGAGAGAGAAAATCCTCAGTAACACAGGCAAATATCAAGTAATCTAACATCATATATGCAGAGTCATATAGAAAAAGGAGGAAGACAAAAATATTTGAAGAAATAACGGCTCCATATTTGCCAAATTTGATGAAAACTATAAATTTCTAGGTCTAAGAAACTCCAAATACTCCAAGAGGATAAGCCCACACCCATTCACGCATGCATGCAAAAATTACTACCATCACTATCACCACCACCCCATCACCTCAAGGATCATCATAATCAAATTGCTGAAAATCAGAGAATAAAATAAAGAGAAAAACTTAGAGCAAAAAGACATGTTACATATAGAAAGGAGCAAAAATAAGAATTAGTGCAGAATTCTTGTCAAAAACTATCCAAGCCAAAGACAAACATCTTTAAATGGCTAGAAAAAAGTGGCTAGAACTCTATATCCAGTGAAAAGATCCTTCAAAGATGAAGGTGGAATAAAATTTTTTCATAGAAATAAAGCCAAGATTATTAACCTTCAGCAGAACTACACTAAAAGAATTCTTAAAAGGAAATTCTTCAAGCAAAAGGAAATCATACCAGATGGAGACTTGGATTTACACAAAGAAATAAACTGCCAGTAATGGCAAGTATAAAAAATATTCTTCTCTAACTTTTAAATTTCTTTAAAGGATGGCTGTGTAAAGTGACATAATAAAAAAAATATATCGTGGAGTTTATAATAAAAAGAGAAGTAAATTATATGGTCATAATAGCACCAATAAAGGAGAGCCGAAATGGAAATGTATTATTCTAAGGGTCATAACTAAAATGAAATAATGTTATTTAAACATATACTGCAATAAGTATAAAATGCATATTGCAAACTTGAGAGCATCAGTTCTCAAGACATCACCCATAAACCAGGGACTTGCCTAAAACCTTCTCAGGGCTGACAAGGTCAAAATTATTTTCATAGTAAATGCCCAGGTGCTGTTTTCCCTCTTCACTCTCATTCTCTCACAAATTAACAAGGGAGTTTTCCAGAGTCACATGATATGTGATCACAACAGACTAAATACAGTATATAGGAGAACCCAGCTGCTAAGACAGAAATCAAAGAACTTTACCATGTATGTAAAATAATGCTCATCTTCTCACTAGATATTCTTTGTTTCAGAAATATAGCTTTTTAATAAAGCATTTGAGTGGGATGCCTGGGTGGCTCAGCAGTTGAGCCAGGGCCTTTGGCCCAGGGCATGATCCTGGAGTCCTGGGATCAAGTCCCACATCAGGTTCCCTACATGGAGCCTGCTTCTCTCTCTGCCTGTGTATCTGCCTCTCTTTCTGTGTCTTTCATGAATAAATAAATAAGATCTTTAAAATTTTTTTTGACTTATGTTACTATATAATGGGTTGCAATGCTTATATTTAAAAGACTTAATATTTTAACTGTTCAATTTTAATTGCTAATATAATAATATCAATAGATGCAATTCACATAAACTAAAGCTCCTTGAGATCCTCAATATGAGGTTATTTGACTACAAAGGGATCCTAAGATTAAAAATATTTTGAACCACTGACCTGGAACATTTTCTAAGAAATAAATAAAAAAGAATTAAAGCTAACCAGCTAAGAGGGGAGACAAAAAAATAGAAGACTTACAAAGACATATAATTAATCCAAGAGAAAAGAGACAAAAGTAAGACAGAGGAAGCAAGTAGCAAGATAGTAGACACAAACCAAATCACACTGATAATTATATTTGTAATAAATGGTTTAAACAATCAAAAGGCACAGATTAAAAAAAAAGATTTTATTTATTTATTCATGAGAGAAATGCAGAGACATAGGCAGAGGGAGAAGCAGGCTCTATGTAGGGAGCCCAATGTGGGACTCAATCTCAGGACTCCAGGATTGTGCTCCGAGGAGCCAAAGGCAGTCGCTCAATCACTGAGCCACCCAGGTGTCCCAAAAGGCACAGATTCTTAAGCTGGTTTTTATAAAGCAATATTGAACTATATGCTATCTCAAAAAAATCCATTTTAAATATAAAACACAGATAAGTTTTTAAAAGTATGGAAAAAGATATGCCATGTAAATATTGAAGGGCCTATATTAATAACAAACTAAGCAGACTTCAGGACAATAAATACTATCATGAGGAAAGAGAGAAATAAGGAGAAAAGGATTAATCAAGGAGATATAGTGATCTTCAATTTCTATGTAACCACTAATAGAATTTTAAACACATAAAGCCGCTGAGGAATGTCAACTATTCAACATGAAGGCAGAGGTCAATAAGCTGGAACTGATGTTCCAGAAAACTGACTCTGATCTGGATTACATTCAGTACAGGCTGGAATATGAAATCAAGACTAATCATCCTGATACAGCAGAGAAAAATCCAGTTACACTGTTAAAGGAATTGTCAGCAATGAAGTCTCAATATCAAACTTTGCATACACGCTTTAATCAATTACTGCAGAGCAGAAAGAAACTAAGAACCGCATTTTTGCTACTGTCGATAAGACTATGACCATGAAGCAAACAGACCAGGAGCTGTCACCATTCACTAAAGAAGAAAAAACTTCAGCAGAGCAATTAAAATCTTTCATGTCAGACTTATGAAGAAACTGACTTGCAAAAGGGAATTCTAATGGAGAAGAGATTAATTCCAGAAAGATTTAAGAAGATGTCTTGTTAGCACTTGATGACTAAAGGTGGGGGGATGGTGAAGAAGAAGATTTGTCTGGGGTGACTGGATAATAATGCCTTTCATAAGAGAGGGGACTATCAGAAGGGCAGATAATATACGAATAAAGTTTAGCCAAAAGGATGGAATGGGAATAAAGCGATTTAAAAATATATATGCACACAAACTTAGTTTATAATTTCAGACAAGGAAGTCACATAACACTATTTTGTATCTGTTTTTGTGTAACTGGGATAACGTTTATGTCCTGTCCTATCATGAAAGGATATTTATGTACTATCAGTCAGATATGAATTAGCATGCTTTGGAAATTAAAGGATAGAAAAAATATTTGTATTACATTATATATGTATATAATTTTAGATTTTTGAAAATTCTGATTATAGATAATAGTCACTTTATTGATGAGACTGCTAATATGTGGTCACTGGTCCTCCACAAAATCTAACTTTAGCAATAATAAATTGGATTTTCTGTGACAAAAAAATAAAAAATAAAAAAATAAACTCATAAAGCCAAAACTAATAGAACTAAAATGAGACATAGATTCACAACTATAGTCAGATATTTCAACACTCCTCTCCTGGTAATTGTTAGAACAAATAAAAAGTTGGTTAATAAGTAGGCTATTTGAACAAAATAGCTAACTGTACCTAATTTACATCTATAGAATACATCACTCAAAACAGCAGATTATTTTGTATATATGAGATGCCAGATGTTAACTAAACTTATTGTGGTACCCATTTCACAATATATGTAAGACATTATGCTGTATAGCTTAAACTTATACAGTGCTATATGTCAGTTTATCTCAATAAAACTGAAAGAAAAATACTTTTAAACAGCAGATTACATACTACTTCCAATTACACAGAGAATATTCGCCCAAGTAAACCATATGCTGACCATTATACAAGTTCTCAATAAACATAAAATACTGAAATGATACAGAATATGTTCTCTGACCATACTGAACTAATACAGAAGAATATTTGGAAACTTCTCAAATAGTAGGAAATTAAACACACTTTTTTTTTCCTAAGTAGGCATTATGCCAAGAAATTTGGCAACAGAGATGAAATGCACAAAACGCTTTAAAAACACAAATAACCAAAACTGACCAAAGAAGAAATTGATCACCTGACTAGCCCTATGGTAGTTAAAAGAGCTGAATCTAGAGTTTAAAATCTTTCCTCAAAGAAAACTTCATGCCTAAATGGATTTGTTCATGAATTCTACCACTTTTAAGGAAATAATACCTCAGGTTTTGTTTTTTTTTTTTAAAGCCCATAGCTTACTTTGATGATGTGCCTTTTACAACATTTAAATTATTCTCTAAATTCGGAGTCACACATGAATAGGGCTCGTGCAGCACACACTAAGATCATTAACTGATGCTATCTATAAATGTCTCTTATTTGCAAGCAAACTGAACAAATTCTTTGGAAAAATTACTAACAATAGCTGTGGAAAAAGTCATACCCTAAGTTATGCAATTGTTTTTATTATACTTTTAGGCATGACCAAAAAGCATTTTAAGAAATGAAGTCAAATACAGTGTTTGGCTATATTTATTTAATGTGGAGTCAATAGTTATTTACCTACTGGGAAAAAATGCTATAATTGTCTTCTATAAATATTAACATGCTAAAAATATGATCAATAACACAAAGACTGTAGGTACAGGGAAGCTCCACTTATAATCCAAAAGATGACCTCAAGTTGGATAAACATATTTTATTAGCATGTTTAGGCAAGGTTTTAAAATCATAAATATTTTAAGGTATAAAAACCTGTGGATCACTTTCTACAGAAGACATGACAAGTACAGAAAGAAGATTTCAATGACTTGCTCCATACCTTGCCTCACATCACTGACCAGAAGAGCCTTGAAATGATCATATACAACTCCCCCCCCTCCTTAGCTCCTTTGGTTATATCCACCTAATTAGTCACAGTTTCAAACTGGGGCAGAAAGAAAACACTGCCCCCATACATTAATGAGGAGCAGATCTTTAAAAATTGTAGCAGATTTCAACATTTAAGCATTTTCTTTTTATGCATATATTAAATAAGAATGCAGGAAAAGTCACATAATATATTTCTTCCAAAAAACATTTAATATGGAACTCTCTTCACTGAAAGTGGAAAGAAAAATTAAGATACTTTGGAGATCTATGTGGCAGTTTCTAGCAAAGTTGAAAAAGCACATTCCCCATGACTCACCAATTCAACTTTTTGATATGCCTAGAGAAACTCAAGTGTGTACCCAAGAATGTAGAAGAATGTACAAGAATGCTTCTAAACATTCTTAAATTAACATAACATTTCTTACAATTTTCAGACAGTCTCAACATAAAATTTCTAACAACTTTTAAACAGTCTAAAAGTTTATCAACAGAAGTAGGCATACATCATTTGTGTAAGTTCACACAAACATTATCACACAGCAGTTAAACAACCTAGAGCATGTAAAGCATGATGCCATTATACAAACTTTAAGGATAACACTATATATTTGTTTTTGGACAAATACAGAAGTAGAGAAGGCATAAAAACATACAGAATATAAGTAAACACTGAATTCTGGTAGGTAAGTTCAGCTGGAAAAGAAGAAAGGGGAATGAGATTCCCAAGGGGTACATAGGAAGGAGATGTCATCCACAACTGAAACGTTGCTAGCTTGTTTGTTTAACTGAGGCCTGAGTGAGCAGATGGATGCTTGGACACTCCACTTATTGCACAAAATATTTCACTTTAAAAAGAAAAGAGTAGGGACTCCTGGGTGGCTCCGTGGTTGAGCATCTGCCTTTGGCTCAGGTCCTAATCCCATGGTCCTGGGATCAAGTCCTGCATCGGGCTCTCGGCAGGAAGCCTGCTTCTCCCTCTGCCTGTGTCTCTGCCTCTCTCTCTGTGTCTCTCATGAATCAATAAATAAAATCTTAAAAAAAAAAGAGTAGAATATTTTATCACAAACCTCGAAACACTTTGCCTATGAGTGGAACAACTTGCTTTATTCACAGCGACCAAACACCCAATATTACTCATTTCTAAAATATGTATCTACAACCATCATAAGCATCCAGGGAGAAACATAAAGGGCCTTGGTCTAAAAAATAAAAAAATAAAAAAAAAAAAAAGTAAGAGCTTCAGGGTCAGAGGGAAACAGAACACCTGCCTTGATGGGAATGTCAGGAATTCTCTTTGGTTGGAACCCCTCCCCTTGGCCGCACTTGAAAAGCCGGCGGATGAGGCCGGACACAGCGCCCCGTGCAAAAGCCCTGCTCACTGGTGGAAGAAATCACGGGAGTGAGCACAGGATCCGGGGGGCAGGCGCCCCTTTGCTCGTTCTGTATTTAGAAATAACTTCTCACTCCTTGAAAAGCGTCGGAAATGTAAGCTACGAAGGCATGGGGTGGGGGCCTGGGGAGCGGGTACCCGGGGGTTTGGACGGTTTCTGCTTTGAGGGGTGCGAGCAGGGAGGTGCAGACTGAGGAACTCCAGGGTTTCCACGGCTTCACCCCGAATTCTGGGGTCAAACGATGGGGCCTCGCCGGGGAAGGGGACGCGGTCGGGGTCGTCCCAGCGGCGGGCAGGCGCCGACCGGACCACTCACCTGTCAGCGGCCGCCGGCGAGGGGTGGGGAAGGGGCGGTGAGCGGGAAGGGTGGGTGCCCCCCACCGACCGCCCTCCGCGGCTGCGCCCCCGACCCGTCGGGCGCCGGCCCCGCCCTCCCGACTGTGACGTCAGCGCCCGCGGACCACTCAACGGCCGCCCCTGCCGGCTCGCTGGGAGTCGATTGGCCGTGGGAGGAAGGGCGGGCGGCGGGAGGAACCGAGGGAAACCCTGCGGCCGGCGGTTGCCATGGACGCTCTCGCGCCTAGTAACCAGGCTCCGGGAGACCTGGCGGGTCGCGGAGGTGACGCCGGGAAGCGCAACCCAAGGGAGAGGCCGCGGAGGTAACCCTGCCGCTCCTGGGGGGCCTCTTCAGCGTCAGAGGGCTTGGTGGCCCCCATTCTAGTGCAGGATGCGGGCAAGCCTCCGCGTTTACACCTGTCTGCTGCCCAGCTGGGCTTCCCCACGGCGGCGTTATCTAGTGACCTTCTCCTCCCTGCTCACTCTAAGGGAAAGATTTGCGGTCCCCCCCCCCTTTTTCTTGAGCAGATATTTCCATCCACAGTAGCCTCCACTAACTAGTTCATCCAGGGTCTGGGTCACCTGTCTCCCATACATCACCGTCCACCCATGCAACTTCCTTAACACCATGTGGTAGGAATTTACGTTTTACAGGAAAGAATTCAACTTGGGGAAGTTAACTAACGAATGCACACACACACACACACACACACACCAGTATTGGACTGTAATAATGTAAATAATACAAATCGTAGTTAATATTTCATGAACCCTCACTCTGTGCCATATACCATATTTTATACTAGGGCTTTACAGGCATAATCTCATTTATTTCTCTTACTAGCAATAATAATCTATTGATTATCATTACTTCTGTTTTTTAGATGAGGCCATGCAGGTTTGGAGATGTTGGGTAGCTTGCCCCAGAGACACACAAACAGAGGAAGAGCCATGCTCTGAATCCGGGTCTGTCTGGTTTTAATTTCTACTCTCTTTGCCTCTATATGATAAACAAATAAGCTTGAAATAAGGCATATATCAAAAACACAATACCAACTACGAAGAAGTAGCTTTAAAGGGTTACACTGTGGCGGGCACTACCCTTCACAACCTTGAACTTCAACTCATCAATGCTGGTGTGAGAAATGTACTGTTGGCCCAGTTCACATTAATACCTGCTGGAGGCCTGGTGAGTTGCCTTATCTGTAACAACAGGTAAACCAGGCACTGGGGCACAGGTGCCCTGTTGGGAGGCATTAAAGTCACCTTTTATAGGATAACACCTTTAGTAAGGCAGGCTAGATAATTTCAATACCACCTGGAATGGAGAATTAGTGGCCCACAGATCAGGATCCAATAGCTGGTCCAAGAGAGTTTATACATAACCTCCTCAAGTTCTGGGATCAGAGTCCTTGCAGAAGATGCTTGCTGTCAGCACAAAGGCCAATGGAACCATAAGATAAAGGGCCCAGATAGCTAGTGGTGGCCCACAGCTACTTTGTGAGATCTTTGAAGGTCAGCAGGGTTGTAATAGGGTTGTGGACAAGCTTCTGCTCATCCTGGATGGCAGAGAAGGAGACAGTGAGTGAGAAACTTGCCAAAAATGAGCATGAGTAAGAAAGTAAGCAGAGACCCCCATCACAGACTGCTGCTTCTCTCCTGAGAACAGCAGCCCTGTGAGACTGAGATGGAGCCAGAGAGCACCTTTCCTCAGCTCTTGAGCATAGAAAAGAAAAGTTTTACTGCATTAGTAAGGTGTTTCCCAAAATGTGTTCCCTGGTCCATTAAAGAGGCTATTCAATCAACAATAGCTCTATAATCAAATAAATTTGTGAATTTCTGACATAAAGAGACTTAAATAGGCTTTCTTTAGCACAGGAAATCTTAGTCTTCAATGTGCCCATTTGTATTTTCCCCCTGGATTCCAACCAAAGAGTTTTTAAAACCAGAACACTTGTTAACATCTCCATGAACACTAATATTCCACAGAACACAGTTTGGGAAACATTGGCTTAGCATTAAATGTGTCTTAAAAATATGTTTCAGTGAGAGAAAGTAAAATTGATATATGTATCTAGCTAATTACAGACCTTCTCCAAAGCAGTAGAGAAGTAATGGGTTTATCTTTATATTCAGTGAAAGATTCTAATTCAGTTGAGGTTCGATGACAGCTCCCCATCCAAGTATCCTACCTAGGAGTGTGGGGATAAGGAGGAAGAGTCAAAGAGTGGCTCATGGAAAACTGATGGAAAAAGAACTGAGAGAGAAAGAGGTGAAAGAGGAGTATGGGGGTATGAGTGTGTGGGAGTGAAGGAGAATGTTTAGGAAAATGAAATAGCGAATATTGCCCTTAGAGCCAGCTGTCTCTAATCTGCCCACTCTCTAAATTCTTTTAATTCCATAATTCATTTTATGGCTATTTATATGGGGAAACTGGAAATATTGCACTGTAAAAATGTGAAAGTCTAAATCATAGAATAATGTAAGCTGTAAATTGCAGTCTAAAAATTAGAGAATAATGTAGATTCTTGAAATGTGTTCTTTATCATTGATTCTTAGAAATTACTTAGCAACAGATGCACAACATTTTACTCAAATTTGCACCATCCATATCAATGGCTTTGTTTTCCTTGAGCACTGTGTTGATTGTCAGTATGTGAAGGCAGCAATGTCAACCTATGGACTGGATATTGGATCGACATTGACTTAATGTACAGAATACAGGACTCATGTTTACATGAGTAAACTCTGCTTCACAGAGGACTGATTGGGAAACTTGAGTGTGTGATGCATTCGTTGAGAATTTTATCATTTACAACCGTAGCACAACAATATCAGCTATCACTGTTATGTTTTGCTTTTGTTACTAAGCTATTTGTAGGGGTGTGTATCACCGTCAGCCTTTTTTAACTGAATAGACTTTCTCATTGCATGAATTGCAGGGCACACCTTGTTGGGAGTACCTCCAGAGAGCCAAAGGTACATAGACTCAGCCTAGTTTAAATATCATCTTCTAACTCCTTTGTTTAGCACGTGAGGAGCTGTGATTCTAGAGGTTCCATGACATGCCCAGAATCACATTTTTTGCTGTGGCCTCCTGATCAAGTGGGAAATGATAAGCTCCCACAGGGTTTTGTTTCTTTGTGCTTCCATCAGAGTCATTATCCCATTATCATATGTCTTTACATATCATCTCTCCCATGAACCCTAGGAGGACAGGAACGGTAAGTTTCCAGCCTTAGTCACAAGAATCATTTTGGAAGTCATTCATGCCGTTGAGTGAAGTTGTAGCACACATCTTCATTTTTGTCTTACCTGTTAACATAAATGAAGATATCAACCACCATCCAGGTTGGAACTCCCCTTGTTCAACTGCATTGAGAGGTTGGCCAGAGACAGAAGAGTTCAGCAAAAATCAGTGAAAGCACTCTGTGAAAATCAATTGGCTATCTGGAACTTAAAACACAGAGTATTGTATAGCTTATTATTATTTTATATATAAATTATGTGCCATACATCCTTTATATCACTAAAATATATAATAAAGTGGTGTATGTATATATGAATATATTTTTCCCAGAAAGCCAGTTGTTAAATGTTTGTATTGCTGTAAGTGGGTCCCTGTTCCTATCTTTAGAGATTACTATCTAGTAGGACGTGGGAAAACCCCCATGGTGTAGGCTCCAATGTGACGAGAGTCCTCAAAAGAGGGAACACAGTGTCAGCCAGGGATTCCTAAATGGTTAATTTATAGGTGATATGGAATATCGTGTAGCTCTTTAAACTGAGGAGAGTTTGTGGAAATAAAAATGGAGCTGGCTGTAAACAGATGTGCTATATTTGTATCAGATATTTGAAATGGTATTTCTCAGTGATAAGAAAGTTGATTTCTTTTTGTTGACATGGTTGAAAACAGTTCATCTCTTCTTAATACACTGGAAACAGCTGCAGTCTGGCCGAGTGTGAACTCTTGTCTGCTTTGTGATGGCTTTTGCCTGATTGATGTGAGCTTCTGTTCACCATTTCTGAAGATGCCATACTGTAGACACAGGTACCAGATACCTGACTGCACCTTTTACATGCTGAACCTAAGTTTTCAACTCTGTTCGTTGTTGTTAGTGAGACAATATAGGCCGGACAAACCATGACCACAGTGCCCTGGTGAAGACAGCCTCTCTAGCTCATTCTTTAGGTGGCAGTAGCAGATGCTGTTAGTGCTACAATCCATGTTCCCTCAGATGCTTTGACCATTTTTTTTAAAGATTTTATGTATTTATTTGAGAAAGTACACACCCGAGAGAGCATGAGGCGTGGAGAGGAGCAGAGGGAGAGGGAGAAACAGTCTCGGCGCTGAGCAGGGACCGCCCCCACCACCACCACCAACAACAACCAGGCTCTATCCCAGGACCCTGAGCTGAAGGCAGACTTACCTGACTGAGTCACCCAGGCACCCCCACTTTGACCATTTCTTAAGCACAGCCTGTTGGTGTGCTTTCACTCATAGCAGTGGACTCTACATCTCCTTAAGGAAGGACTGCCTTCTGGCTGCCAGCATCAATTTTGCCAGCATAAGGAAAGCTGAAGTGTCTAGGAATTTGTGACTTGAGCCAACCCTTCCTCAAAGACTAATAAATTCAGGGGTATAAATACCCCCACTTCCCTGCCCTCATTGTGACAACTCTGAGGGGTGACCTACCCTGTCTCCAGAGCTCCCCTACAGGACTGAACCAAACCTACCCTCCTGGAGATTTGATAATACCATACTCCTGCTTCCTCTGACTTCCCATCTAGATGTCTAGATCTCACTTCCTCTATCTTTACTAATTTTTTTTCAAGGGAACACTTTCTTTTTTTAAAAAATTTAATTTTATTTTTTTAATAAATTAATTTTTATTGGTGTTCAATTTACCAACATACAGAATAACACCCAGTGCTCATCCCGTCAAGTGTCTCCTTCAGTGCCCGTCACCCATTCACCCCCACCCCCCGCCTTCCTACCCTTCCACCACCCCTAGTTCATTTC